ATCGTGTCTGCGTGTCCAAGTATCTATGTACGCTACAGCGCCAGCAGCCTCGACACAACGAGGCCCTCTCCTGGCCCAAGCCCAGACGGAGACGGCCGATGCTTGTGGGACGACATCTTACTTTCCATGCTCCCTCGCGTTCATGTGTCTGCCTTGCACGTTGTGGCCGTCCACCACGCCATGGGGGCTGACGCGCCATGAGTTCCCACTTCTTCGCATTGCATTCCCTGCCTCGAGGTAAAAGGCTCATGTCCACCCTGATCCAATCGCCAGCTTGTCATCAACTTCTCGAGTGAGGGACGCAGGCTGCCAGGCTTGCCGCAGCAGCCAACATGAAATTGTCCCCGGGCCCTACTCTTCGATTTCTACTTCCGGTCCGTCATCTGACGCCTCCTCCGAGGGGAGATGCAGAGGCACGCCTGCCGCTTATTTTCCGAGCACCTCACCGCACTTTGTGCGCGCTCTCCCTGGCGATTTCGGCACTTGCCATGGCATCTCTTGCATCCTAGCACGACAGCCGTTGAAAGCAAAGATGAACACGGTGGCTGAGAAGGCTCAGGAGGTTACCCCTTCGAGAGATTTCACTGTGCACTTGGACGTCACCAAGCACTCGACGGCCCTGCACGGCGTCTACTATCGAGACACAGCCAGCTGCCGCCTCCCGTCTGTCCCATGACACTCATGACCGGCTTCAAAGCAGTGGCCATGATCGACAGATTCATGGCGGCCTGCAGCCGCCTCAAATGCATTGTCGGAAAACCAGAAAACATCATAGACTCTTCTCGATTGTCTCAGCCGACTCGACAAAGGCTGGACGCTGCATGGTTGCCACGCTGGCGTAATTGCTGTCTGTTGATTATTGCGTATGAGCTGTTGCACAAGCACTGCTATCCCGGGTCTCCCTGATCAAATGACCGAAAAAATCTAACCTGGGTCGATGTTTGCTTGAACTGAGCAATCCATCTTTCCATAATGGTATGAATTATCGACGATGAAACCAGCGTCTACAAACAACAATGAAGCCAAATTTGCTTACCTTGGGACAATGTATTACGATTGGATAGCCTGTCTGTAGATTTGTCAACTAAATTGAAGGGGCCTGGCCATCGGACCCGCCGACGCAAACCTTTCTTTGATGAAGGACTTGCGACGACTGATGACAGCACCCACGCCGATATTGCGCCGGGGACCGTTCGTAGTTGAGCTAGCATTTCGCTAGTTCTAGGAGTGAAGCAGTAGCCAACTCATACGCATCTCACTTGTTTTCTTGCAAACATGGGCTCCCTCTCTACCTCGTGCGCGAGCGAGCACAGGTGATACCGCTATGGGCTTGTCTTGTCGTACCCTCAGCGCGTTCCTCGATCAGCCCATTTTGCGCAGAGAACACGAGACTAGAATCGACTTCGATTACAGGATGGCAGCTAGCCTAAGTGCGCGAACCGCTTATCTTCTACGAATCGAAGACTCGCACAACGGATCCAGTGGAACTGTTGAACCAGCACAGCTTACGCCAACGGCTACCCGAGTCGCTAGGGGGCGACAAACCCTACTTTGATTCGACTTCTGGCTTAGAAACGCTCTTGTACCCTTTGTTTGCAATGCCCATTGGTGTTTCGCAAGGCGCCGATCTGCACAACCAGATTGCCACGGCATCCGTGTCTTCGACAGCCGAAGAGACTGAGATTTCGATTAGCATTCTGGCATGTCAGTATCACACAATGTCCAAGGCTACTGTTTCCTTAATTCATACTAATATGAAATTCGGTTTGGCTAGCAGCATCACAGCTCGGTAGCGAACGTTGGCGTTGTACGGGGCGGCCGATAGCATCCGCACAATCACAAAATCACCGTCAAACACCTTGTTAATTGGTGCTCTAAAGAAAATTCGATAGCCCCTCCAACCACTTATCGATGGGGATATATACATCTAGGATAGGTAGAATCCCAGCGCCGCGCCTACACGACGTACAGAGGGCTTCTCTGATTAAACGTACGATTTTCTGCCTCTCGTACACGTCAGCCAAGACTTCACAACAAAGGCTTTTCAATCTAGTCCTAGTTTCTTGAGCAAGTAGAGGGCACCAAAAAGCCGAATTCGATACCCAAGCAAGCAGGCTGTGCCTACAGCCTTTGAGCACTAATTTCGGTCACTTCCCGAGATCTACGCGTACGACAAACACACTCTATAGTCACACCTCTGCCGGCTCACTTCAAGAACGATTGGTCTGTGCGGATGTTGTGGAAGCCAATGATGCGGCTATGAATGGGAACAGCTCCTTCCTTCCCAAATCGGGACATCACCGGTCAGGAGTTCATTACGAGATGTGATTAGCCACACAAGTCACGTTCCTCTGTGGTTCAAGTCTAAGCCTAAAAAAACGGCTTCTAGAGAGACCACAACACGAGAGCCGTCACAAGATACACCTGTTCCCCACAAAAGTGTTAGAACACTAAATCCCTTAATCCGGGGACGGACAATCAGCGACGCCACGGTTCCGCGACATTCAGATGCTGTATTGATTCCACAACGCCAACCCCGCCCCAAACAAGTATTGTTTTTGCCTCGAGTGACTATCCAGTGGGTATCGACTATACCCACCGAGTGCAGCTAACTTGGATCATGGCTAATGCTCATCCCACCCCGTTGTCGTTGGACACTTTCGTTGGACCGCCGTTTGAAATAAGCTGGACCAAATGCCAGACCATCATCTACTCCTGGAAACTGCAGGCTATTCGTGATTTGTGTCAGCTGAACACAACAGCTGTCACTAGACATGCCGTCAATGTGAGCTGTCGTAATCCTTTCGATCCAAATTGGCCAAGGCAGCGGCTGCAGCAATGAAACAAACAATGACAACGCACCGACTGCCGGTCATTCCGGGTTTTGTTCTAAAGATTATCTTCAAAATCGTAAGAGGAACCAACCATTACTCTTGCCATCCGACTTGATGAGAAGGGAGTGCAGAAACCTGGTCCTTGTCCATACCAATAAGCCTTGCGTTTGGGAAATTTCCGACTCAGCTAGGTACCTCCGAAGCTATGACTGTCAGCAGTTTTCAAGAGAGTGTCGTTCGCAACTTGTACCCATCCCGGCGTCTCCGCTGATGTCCGTACCATGGAGACCCGACCGTTGGATATGTTAGCCACCCTAACATGCTGCAGAATCTCGTCATACTTGGTTCTCGTGTCCGATTTTCAAACGAGGATCTTGAACAACAATCCGAATGACTGCCTAGCGACTAGAGACTTCGGGTGTCAAAGAAACCTAATGACTACACGGCGGTGGCAAACTCTTCTCCTATCATCCATCAAACGTGCAGTTACGGTATATGAACATGCTACCATGCCAGAATCCACTTTGCTTTTTTTCTCGTCCGTTGAAAGATTCTTGGCGCATGATCTGTTCGCTGTATGATCGGGTACGGATTTTCCTTCGTTTTCCACTTTTTTCCTCCGAAAAAGAAGACAATAAGACGGGTCGGCACTGTCTCTTGGGATATGCACGATGCAAAGGCCCACTCCCGCCCCATCTGCCTGCCGGTCTATCGGTCTGTCGTGATATGATCATCTAGCACCTTTCACAACATACTATTTGCAGGACCGGGAAGAAAATCAGAAATCATAACACTTTGGCAGACATATCTCATGCGGCGTAAGCAGCATGACAGGCAGATACGGCTCTGAGCTTAGCTCCCTATTCATACCGACGATATGTCGCCTCTTACTTGCATGCTGATAGCGCCCGTTGGGGTATCGTGAGCAGCCAGCCTAAGAAAGCTGCTACGAATGGCGCTTGGAAGCGCGTGGGTCATGGGGAGCGCCTTGAAGTATTGGATTTCAGGGTCTCCATAGTGCCCCCCTTTTTTCCCTCTTCATCAGAGAATGTGCAAGGAGGATTCGACATCTTTGACTCCAGTATAGTCACAAGACCTTTCTGCTGTGGCCTGATCTACCCTTTAAATTATCTGACACTGAAATCAGCACAAGTGCGTAGTTCACTTGCCATTTTTCTTTCGCATAGTCTCCCGCTCAAATGCTTCAGCCGCTGTGTTCGTAACTAAAGTACCTTAAGTGTGTATCCTGTACTCTTTGAGCTACGGCACATAGTCTGGGTTTCTCCACTTTGTCTCTTTGCCCCTCTCCCTTCTTTCTAGCCACTCTACTCCCCTTTCCAAGGACATGTGGAGTCTAGGCGATAGGATTTACTAGGTCTAAAAGCCCCATTGAAAAGAGCAGCAGCCCCTTATATCGATGAAGCGGGCTACAGCAAGATGATAACCGTACATTGAAAGAGCCCCCATTCCGTCCCCTCTTCAGTGAATAGGCAAAGTAGGCAGTGTGACAGCACGGTATATTCTGGCCCCCGCGCGTCCGCGTGCCCCGAAGGAAAAGATTTACAATACAAGCATATGTTGGTAGATACCTCGAACTAGGTTCACCTTTGCCATAGCCGTTTTTTCTTTTTCGAAATTAGAACAGAAAGAATATACAACTTCGCTGCTGGATAGTTTACTCTGTCAAACACTTACCTTCTCACCTACTACCATCGCGCAAATATGCAACAAGATACCAACTCTAGAGTCGCGAGTTACAGGGTTGACGTTAGGTAGGTAGCACGCATCCCATTGCGGTGAGTGTGATGGAAGGAAGGGGTTTTGACTGTTTGAGATGGATGAGTTGAGGTATAGATAAAGTGATTATGACGTAGCGTGGCGGAGGCGGTGTTGGTGGATGAATATACTTGGTGATGTCGACAGAGTGGTTTGAGTGTAAAGGATGTGATACTCGGGTACCCAAATTGTAGTAATAAAGCAAGTTTGCTGAGGCGCAAAAAAAAAAGAGTAGCAAAAGGTTTAAGCAGTGTTGATGTTGAACTGGTAAAGGTTGATCAAATATTGTAGATATCTCGGGCTTGAGAAACAAAACAAAAAAAGGTGCATGCACAGTCACTTGAGATGTTTTCATCACATCACATCACAACAAAACATGCAGAAAGATACAAATCGAATCATGAACAGCCGGACCATGCACATCAGGAGCTTCTCATTCTTTGCAATGCAGCAATTACAAAATCTCCCCCCCACCAGAGTAGCCCCGTGCCCTTTGCTACATCTATCATAACTATACAGTTGTTGCCTGTTGAGCGTCACAGGGTCCCTACATCTGTCCCGTCATTGCAGGGCTGCCGTGGCGTTGATCGAGATGATCATAGTTGAGTTCGAACTCTCTCTGTGTTTGATGTCAGATATAGATATTCCAAAATAGACACAAAGATTACGCACCCTCTCTCTCCTCCAGTTGTTGACGTCAAAGAAGAGATACCAGCCGCGTTCTTCCTTTGGTGAGAGACGGATGGGCGCTGGGAGATCTGGGTCTTTCATCATCCACTGCTGGAGCTTGATATGCCATCGCCAGTCGCGGTTGTATAGTTCTTGTGCGGCGATTTCCTGTAGGATGTCTCTTGGGTACTGGTAGAAGATGGCGAGAAGAGTCTCTGCTGAGAAACTCGTCATCTTGGAATGAAGTGGCGGCACGTTTGTCACCGTGTACGCTGCTGGAAGGGTGAAATCTGGCGGTATTACTGGCTTGACGTTTGATTCGACAAAGGGTGAACCAAATGTTGGATGTAATGGCAAGTTGCTAGAGGCGCTATTAGCGAGAATATGTAATGCGTGAAAAGGCACTTACTCAGGCCGACTCAAATCCAAGCCCAGAACAGTCAAATCTTGGCCCATGGCTAGGGTGGAGTAATCAGGACTCTCCATCGGAATCATAGATAAAAGCCCAGGCAATCCATATCGTTCTGAGTCGGTCATGTCGGATAGCTTCTTGTGTGGCATACTCTGAGCATTTGGTGAGCCCATAACATCAGCCCCAAATGTCTGCTCGAACTGGCCTTGCTGAGCCCGTTGAGCGCCCGGAGCAAGGTCACCACCACTCCGCATTCCTATCTGGTGGCCCAGGGAGAACATGTTGCCGGACTGGGTTGTCCGTTGGTTGCTCTTCATATTGTTAGCTAGCGTGCTACTTCATCGCACAAGGCACGTACATCTGAAGGGTTGCCTGCTCGCATGTTCTCGAATGGCGTTCGCGATGCTGATTGCGTGAGTGACTGGATTTGCATACGATTTTGCATTTGCCTACCTCCACCTGGAAGCCCTCTTCCGCCTACAGTGGGATTGATGCCCCGATCTTGCTGGCTGTCCGTCGGACTTGAAAGGCCATTCCGTGTTTGCCCGAGCCCTGGGAAAGCATTCGCGTTGGCCCCAAATGCCGCAGCATTCTGTATTAACCCCGCTCTTCGATCTGGGGCAATGTCGCCGCCACCGCCACCTAACGGTGGAAACTCGTCAATGTTGCCTGTCTGCGGCTGGACGCCTCCAAGTTGACCAACACCCCCCTGTCCGCCGAATCGGTAGTCATCGCCGGCTCCCGAAAACTGGCTTTGCGACGAATCATCCTGGCCCTGGTTCTGATGTTGCTGATTTGAAGCTTGCCCAGCTTGTCCCTGACCCTGCTGTTGGCCTTGTACTTGTGGCCTTCCTATCGTGTTTTGCTGATTCTGCTGTGTTGTTCGTAGCGTCGGGTTTGCCCACATCTGTTGCGCAGATGTATTTTGCTGCGTTTGCGGTGCACCTGATAACGAGGGGAACTCCCTGTAATTGTCAATATCCAAATCGTGCTTCTCATATTTCATCATAGTCCACATCTCAGGCTTCCTCTTGCCCCACAGTTCTTTTGTGTCTTCTTTGCCGTTGTAAAGGTAGGCTTACTCAAGATTCAGCGGCGTATGTGGCTGTGAACCACCCATTGCTTGCGCAAAGCTTGACATGGCGCCATTGTTTGTCCTTGTTTGCGCGTTTGATAGTCCTGGTGCGCCCATGGGGGCTCCAAATCCCCATTGAGACCCGCCTCCTGCCCGCAAACCGAGGTCAGCCTACTGATGTATCTGTCCCTTCAAGAGCACTCTCACCCATCTTTCCGTTTTGTAACCGGTTCGCGCCTAGGGGAGCCCCACGGCCCTGATTCTGTTGTGCTTGAAACATCGCCAAAGACGTACGTCGTCACGATTTTAGACTCTAATCTATAGTGAGAGGGAAGTCAGTATGGTGTTATCAAAATACTAGACTTTAAGCTGCGCCGCAGGTAACAATACCAGAGGTAGGAGAATTTATAAAGCACGTGCGGTGATAGCAGCGACAAAGGGGACAGGTGATGATGCAACTGCTTCGTGGGTGAGGCCGTAAGGCGCAATGACGGTAGCTCGATTGCGACGTGCGGCGTGGTGCGACTCCAATTCGGGCGTTACAGATTAAGGGGGAGCAAGGGAAACGACAAGAGTTGTGCGCTAAGAAATTGTCACAAACCTGATTCCAGTATTGCTAGCCAACACCTGTGTGCGTGGATGCGTCTGGCTCACGTTATTCTGGTCCGTCTCGCGTGCATGATGTTGGAGGTTCCGAAAGCCAAAGTATTCTAGGCCAAATTAGGTCTAGCACCAAATGCGGGGAGCGGCAACCGGTGGATCATCCGCCGCGACCGCAAAGTATCGAGCACTGAGGCCTGTAAGCTTGCAAATGTTGGTGAAGGTTCGTTGTAGTATGTGTGTTTCTATTAATTAATTTAAGGGCGTGTTGGCATTTTATCGAGTCAGGTGAAGTTGGTAGATCGTATCAAACCCAACCAGGGACGATGCATTCTTCTCTAGGCGAGCACTTGAACAAAAAACCACGGATCGCAACATCATTATAGCATTTGAATCCTACTAGAATATACTGAGCATGCCCAACCAGACGCCAAGCTTTCAATATATCAAATAGTGGTGCGTAGACAAGACGTACATGAAGAACTTGATCGTGACCAGATGAGCTTAAATGTTATGAATTGGTTGTTTCAATATGGTATACAGATTATCCTAGCTACATTTACAGTTCAGACTAGGAAGAAACGCATCCATAGGATGCAGACTCGTTAAACGCCTTTAGATGCTTTCTCCTGCAAAATGGCGCCTAGCTACTACGCCAACTCGAAAATGCACAATATGCTGCATATGATTAAAAGGTTTATGAAGGACCTTGTTGAAACAGGTGTGACATATCAGTCTCGCCGTTGATACCAAAGAAGTTGAACCTTTTCCAGAACGTTAGTGGAGTCAAGAACAATATCAGAAACACAACATACCAGTCATCTACATTCAGGCTCATAGGCACAATGGGATTGTGTCTACCCCCAGAACTATTGCTCCAAGCGTCGTCCTGTCCGCCGTGCTGTTGTTGATTTTGAGACATCATTTCCACCTGCTGTTGCCAAGCCTGATTATTGTTGCTCTCGTACCCAGAGGGCATGCCTACATTGGCCGGTGCGGTTGAAATCGACTGCTGACCGCCTGCGGCCTGCTGCTGTGAATGCTGGGGAATAGACATGTTTTGGGGCTGACTTAACGCAGGATCTACAAGACTGTGATTCTGCATTGGCGACATTTGTGGGAAATTGACTTGAGTATCAGCAGGGAACAGTTGATCTGGTTGGAAGTTCTGCCAGACCTCCTGGCTGATGTTTGGCGTGTCTCGGGTGATGAGGAAGAGATCTGGCGGGGTGCCAGGATAGGAATATGATGGGTTGAATGGGGTTGTGGGGCGTGTTCCCGATCGTGATGGTCCCATGAAAGCGTCTTGGTTTTGCCGGTTCATTTGCGGTGATCCTGTACTCATCTGGGGTATCTGTTGCTGAGGCTGCAAATCGCGAGAAGGTGTAACTGCGGGAGTTTGTGGTCTTGATCGCTCGTAGGATACCTGTGCCGCGGGAGGGCCGCTTGGGACTGGAAAGCCCAAGTCCATGTCATCAAATTTGCGTTTAGACGATTCTTGGGCGGGTTTTGGGGGTGGCGGTGGTATCGGTGGCGCGGAAGGAACCTTGTTTTTCTTATGATTCCTACCCGCGGCTTTTTGCAAACGCTCTTCAAGATGCTTGTTGCCAAGAATGGACTCGAACAAAGTATGGACCATTTTTGCAACAAGCCAGACTTTTGAGACCTCCTTGAGAGCATCTAGACAAATCTGCAGTCGCTGCTCCGTCGCCGAGACGATGGACTTGTTTGAGGATTTCATCTGATATACATGCATGATGAGCGCCGAGAACAGGCTGTAGACGATGAATGCCGGTGTATACCGTATCTCGTCGTGAGCTCGGAGGTTTTCGATAATTGAAGTAATCATGGCAGCTGCTTGGTATGCAATATTTCTTGAAGGGTAGGCATGCTCTTCGCCAAAACCGTCTAAATTGTTGGCCTTTGGTGAGCCTGCCGGCGGCATGTGTGCTCTGTGCAGAAGACACAAAGTAGTGCTGCTAGTGTTAGACTAAGTCATTTACATGTAGTGGAGAAACTCACTAGTAGTTGGAATGGAGCAAGGCAGCCCAGAAATGGTGACGGCTGCGGTCCCATTGCACTTCGGGCGGACAGTGTTGTAGCCAATCGGCAAGAGCCATATCGCTGTGAGTGAGGTCAATAGCATTCGACCTGCGATGTTTTGACGCGACCGAGTACTGTTGCGACAGCACCAAACCCATAATCTCGCTCAGTTTGACATAGTTGATGAAGAATTGGACATGTACCGGATCGGGTGGGTACTCTGCAAGGTGGTCCGCCTCGTCGTCAATAAAGTCATCTTCTGAGACCATCTCTACATCAGAATCTTCGGGATCGATGGCCACTGGTCTGCCGAGTGCGACAGCTACAGAACGGTCGCGACTGTACAATGTCCACCAAATCCTCTTCCATAGGCGTTTGTCGGATCGGGATAGTTGCGAGCCTTCGACGCTTCGGTGCATGCCTGAGCCCTGAGCTACTACGATTGCCACTCTTGTCCAGTAGAAAACGTTCTTGGTCACATCTTCAGGTCCCTCCCAGTACCAACCCATGAGAATGAGCGCCTGAACAATAGTGACCCTATCGTCTTCAAAATTGGCATCGTAGAGGGCCTTTGCGCGCTTGTAAAAGGTCATTGCGGCGGGTGTTGTCGAACCGCTAGAGTCCATTAGCTGTGCGTTTGTGCACACACGTGAGCCTGCGAGAAGTATGGCCTGCAGCAGGAGAAGCGAGGGCGGGTTCTTGGGATCGCGATATTGGCGCATGAAGCGGCTGCGGTTGATAACGGGAACGACGGGAGCTACCCATTTGAAAAAGGCCTCGACGAGTTCGTCACACAGGGCGCGCGGGGGGAGTAGGAAGGCGCCCCGCTGGTGTAGTATCTCAATCTCCATGTTGTCCATCTCATTAACTCTTGCTTTTGCGCCTCGCACATTTTCGGGCAGGGGATAGTGGACGACATCGGTGGTGCCGTAGCGGTCGTGGACAAGTAGCGACAGGTTGGAAGACTCGCCCAGATATGCCACGCGGCCGGCTTCCTTGATCGGGGCCCTGGCAAACTTTGGCTTCATAAACTGCACATAGGTGCCATTATGGGTGGCCTGCTGGGCGGCGTAGGCAGGCGAGACGGTGGTGGACGGGGTGCCATCTTCGGCGTTGAATACGGTTGATCTCTCGCGCGGCTCGACCGAGGTGCTCGCTGGGGAGCGGTCGTCGCTGTCTCCTCGCTCACTGGTGTAGCGTCAGGCTTGTACAGGCAGGTCTATGTGTAGATGGTTGGGGGGGGTGCAGTCATGGTACCTTTCAGCGTCCTTTGCGCGGGCCGTCTGTGTCTTCTTGCGCTTAGGCTGGGGAATGCGGCACTCGATGCCAAAGGCGGTGCAATTGGTGCAGGGAATGCCGAGCGAGGCAGCGTCGCATCGAACCTGTACACATGAGCTTAGTGGCGGCAGCGGGGCAGATCTGGCGGCCGAGTGCTCACCTTTCTGGCGTGGCATGCTGCGATGCGTCGTGGTTAGCATTCGTCGTCTCTTGTATGGTTGACCGAGGTGCCGAGGCTCGTGCAGGCCCTCCCAACCAACTATCCCACCGACCTCGACAGCATCTTCTCTCGCGCGTCAGGGGATTGCGCAGATGTGGGTTGCACTCACTTTCGCACGCCCGGCTGGCGCGTTGTCGCCGGAACGAGGGATGTCCTGGGCCGGCAGAGGCAGAGGCAGCCTGCGACTGTGGTGTTGCGGACGGCCTATGTAGTCATGAGCATGCGGTACTCGAAGGGCGCGCGACAACACCTACGGAGACGCATTACTGCTGGGCTGAGCTGCGAGCGGCTGCGGCGCTGCAGGCACTGCGGGCACTGCGGAGGCCATGAAGGAGTGCTCGGCCGCCATGTCGTCGCCGTCTCGTTCTCGCTCAGCGTTGTCGTCGAGGGTTGAGGTTGTGATTCGCCCGCCGTCTTCTGCGGTAGGTAGCGACTAGTGCGGGCGCTGGGGTGCACGGGAGTCTGCGGCAAAAGCATCGATCACAGCTGCCACACACGCGACTGTGCTTTTTACATACTCTGTGTTGCCTGTCCTCCTAATCGACCTCGCAATTACATAAGCGTGCGATGGGTTTCAGGTCGGAGACATGCCTGGCCGCTTTCACTCACACTCAGTGCGCTTGTGATGCACCGTCTGGTCGTGTACGCCCGCCCAGCGCCGTCCAAGCATGCACCTGCAGGCCATTGTCTCCATGCATATATGCCTGCCTACTCATGTCCCGTCGCTTATCGACGGGGCCGCCATCACATGCTGCGGCCCCTGGGTGAAGGATCACATACTAAGTTCACCCATCCGCTAGTAAATGACAGTCGACACCGATCAAGACGGCTGGGCCTCCTCTCTGCGCTTGAACGCCTCCAGCTTGACCGCCTTGTTCGTTGCGTTGATGTATTTGAACACTATATCGCCTGCTCCGTCGTTGACCACTTCTTCCTCAGAAGCAAACACAAACCGCTGATGCTCCACCGGGTCAAGTACGACGGCGTCAGCATGCTCCACCTCCATCTCGAAAATGAGCTTCAACCACCTAGTCGTCGGCCGACCGGGCTTCTCGTCGCCAAATGTAAACTGCGCCACCTTTCCTAGCACCCGCGTCGCCCTAAGTCCCGTTTCTTCCTTCAACTCTCGCGCCGCACCATGTAGAATTGTTTCGTCGTCATCTTCCACCTTGCCCCCGGGAATCTCCTGTTCTGTGTTAATCTCCACTCGTCACACTTGGCATGTGACAGTGCCAATCAAAAGCAACATCTATCCTCAGCAAACTTACCCAGAAATCGGGAAACGCTCTCTCATCGGCTGCACGTTGTACCAGCAGAAGCTTGCCATCCTTGTCAAACACTACTGCTCCGGTGACGAGGACATCGTGCTGCGGATGTTGGCTCAAGTACTCTGGTGCAGAAATGGCGAACTCCTGCAAATCAGCCGAGTACTCTAGAGGCTTCGAGGTAGTCATGTCGGAAGTAAGCTGATATTGAATTGCACCAAGTGATAGTTCTGTTGGATCGTGGATTGCAGCCTGTGTGTCGGGGTAGCTTAACCAGGTTATGTATGATGCTTCTACCGTCGTTGCCTTGAGCCCACCTAACGCCCTTCCTTGGGCGCCCTCAATGCTGTAGCCTGCCAATGCTGTAGCCTGCCAATGCAGGCAATGCTCCCCTTTTTATCTGCACGACTGATTTGCAAGAAAAGAACACGAGTCAACTTGCTTCACAACCTGGCAAAGTTCTGCTACAAGTTGCGTACACGTGACCCAACCATTCGCGCGTCTAGCTCCGCACTAGATGGTGAACTCAGTGCGTCACGACCTCGACGCGCCCTCGTCACCATCGCTATCGCACGGTCGCCACCCATTTTGAGCTGACCTCCCACACCCTCTCTCGACTGCGCCTGATAATCATTGCCACCAAAAAGTCATACTGATCGCTTGCGACAATGCCTCGTCCGCCTAGAGCAAAAGTCGCGTCGCGTGTCGCGAAGCCGAGCAAGCCAAAGGCCGCCCCCGCGGTCAAGCAGCAAGCGGAATCCATCCCAGCACCAACCAAGAAAATTAGCGAACCAGTCAACAACTTCAGCGAGGATAGCGATGGTCTTGTTACCAGGACCAGATCAACGCGGTCACGGGGGGAAATGCCGGAGGAGAAGACACTAGAGGTTCATGACGAAGCTAAGCTCACAATGACTGGCGCGTTGCCAGCGGAAGAAGAAGAACAAGTCCTAGAATCATCAAGCAAGAATCGCACACCAGGGTCCAGCGCTTCCAAGCGAGCGCGAACAAGCAGGAGTAGCGCTAGGAAGTCTACAGGGAAATCGTCGCCTGCTGTCACTGCACCCGCGCAACAAAACATCCAGGCTGAAAGCCCACATGCAGAAGAGGACAGTGGCTTTGGCGATCTGACTTTCTCGTCACTCGGCTCAAATTCTCCAGCCCACGGCACACGCCCACCATCCGCTGTCAAGGTTGGCGCAACACCTGCACACGAAAGATCAATACTAGCTTTGACCAACTTCAAGCGGAGAGCCCGACAGCCAAGTTTATTGCGCATGGTACAGCAGACAACAGATGTCGAGGACAACGACGATGATAGTCTGGACAATACTGACAATCTCGACTTTGACGATTTCCTCCCACACGCCGAATCAACACCCCTCAATGTGCGAAGGCATGCGCCTGAACAAGAGACACGGAATGATAGTGGCACTCACGTCTCTAGCTCTGGTTCCCGTGGCAGAAAACGGAAACTGTCGCCAGTAGTCCAAGTACCACAATCGTCGCCCCCAGCCAGTCCACAGTCTGCAAGTGACACAGAGCCGGAAAGATCTCAATCCCCCACCTTACCAGAAATCGCAACGCCACGCATACAAGTCGTTGAGCAAACCCAGGAGAATCAAGAGCCTATGAGTGACACATTGGCATCTCCAATGTCAAGCAGTCCATTACGAGAAATATCTAAGCCCCCGCCATCACCGACACATACCCGACCACGCCGTAGAGGACAGCGAGCCAAAACACCCGTGATAGATGATGAGTCCGAAGGCGAAGAGACAGAAACGCCTGCAAAAGCTAAACGGGCATCAAAAAAGAAGGCAGACCAAAGTATTTCAACCGCACAACTCAAAGATCTGCTGCCTCGTCGGCGCAACCGCTTACGTGATCGTGACGAGTTTGATATCGAGTCCTCAGAAGATGTTGAACAAGCCGACTCGGACCAAGACGAGTTGCAGATGCCCAAGCGAAGGATCCGCCAACGGCAAGGCGCTGGCAAGCTGACATCACCAAAGGCAACAAAGAAGACAGCGCGGGGGAAGAAGGTTGGACCAGCAAAAGCATCAAAAGCCGCACAAAAGTCCAGTAGGACTTACAGTCGCAGGATCTCTTCTGACAAGGAGAATGAGACTGGGGCCCAGAATGAAGCAGAGACGACTGAGGTGTCTGCGATTGAGCACTCTGAAAAGCTGGCTGCTATAAGAAAAAAGTTTGAGGAGGTTGATGCCTTTGAGCTGGAGTTTGAAGATGTGGATCCGACAACCAGCTCCAGTCCTTTCCGATGACCAGCACACTTACACGTCCTCTAAGTGGCGATCTGCCTTTTTCGGTGTTCTTGACAGTATGACGATTGATGATTGCTTTTGTATGTTCGGTGCAGGGTGTATTAGTAGTGTGTGGCGTTTGCTTTCCAAGTGGTCAGTTGATCCAAAGCCATCAGATGGCAATGACTTTGCTGTAGAGACGAGTACATATAAGCACTAGCTATGAGTGATTTAACATGTCAATTTTCGATTCTTTACCTCGAAGCAAATGCACAGTGAGGGTTCGCTACTCAAATGGCCCGAATATGGCATGGTACGAAGCCGATCGTTATCTGTCCTTATCGTCACGCGGCAGTCCACAGTGACCAAGAGGTACGAGGGGCCAGCAAGCCGCAATTACTTACGTATCAACTTCATTTGGGCGCATTGCACGTCTTCTCTTAGTGACTTGGCATCGCAGGTTCTGGCGGTTGGGCGGCACAGTGCAGGGCCGTGCTTGATTGAAGGGGTCCAACTCCGGTTGCGTTACGTAGCGCTTCCTTTCCCCAGCTATTCGAGACTCACGACACCCCGGCATCCGCCCACACACATACTCACATCACCCCCAGCTCTTGCTCTCGACATCCGCGCAATGTTCCCATAACCCTCATGTCATGCGGCTTCCCGACCACTCCAATCATTTGGCCTATGCAGCACCACCCTTGCCCACTCCGCCTGGCGTCCGCATGCCATGAACCCCTCCAATGGCTCTTCACTATCCACCTCCCAGAGCGGCTCGACCCTGCGGCCAAGAACCAAGAGGCTGATTTCGGTCGAAGATGACATTTACGCGACCGACGGGAGCGACAGTGGCCCGAGTAGGGGTACCTCGAGACTACCCTCGCGGAATGCCTCTCCCGGCTCGCTTTCACGTACGGGAACCGCCTCGTCTTCTCGTCTCAATGTCACTTCCACTCCTTTATCCTCCTTCCAGCGCTCTCAGGGAGCACAGCCTCTGAAATCACCCTCACTGGCATTATCGGGGCTCCTGGGAAACTCATGGTCGGCTATCCAGGGTATCGCAGCCACCGTCATGGCTAGCGACACCTCGGATGATACCCGCAAGAGGAAATCCGGTCACGGACGCCGCACATCGACGAGCGCACCTCCGCCGAAGCACTGGGGCCCCGCAGGCGCCGGTTCGCATGTGGGAGCCGGCACACATGAGGAGAGGGAGGCTATGGTCAGGGCATTGAAGCGCAAGGACCTCTTGACCGCCAACGAACATTTAGTATCAGACTCTGCGGGTCGCATAAAGCGCAGAAACTCAGATGAGGACCTAAGTACCTCCGTGGCTGCCGCCGAGAACGACGATCAAGACGCGCTCATATACATCCACCATGTCCGACCACAGGACACCCTAGCAGGTCTAAGCATTAAATACAATTGTGAGCAGGCGGTACTACGCAAAGCGAATCGCATGTGGCCAAACGACAGCATACAGATCAAGAAGCAAGTTGTGCTACCAGTAGATGCGTGTGGCGTCAAGGGACGACCAGTACAAGGGCCAGATGCGCTTCCTACAGAAGATCTTCTGCTAGGGGAATATGCCGATAGCTCCAGTAGCAAGAGTTCAGCTGCGAACACACAGGGCCTCCCCAATGGTTGGAGTTCACCAAAACAAAAGAACCAGGACACTTCTACCACTACCTCTTCTTCTGACCCAGAACCGCCATGGAAGCATGACTCTTGGGTACTACTACCTAACGAGAGACAACCAACAGAGATTGCCCGGATGCCACGTAGAGCGTTGGGTTTCTTTCCGCCAGCCCGACGAAAGTCTCTTGCTTACTCAGATGCCTCTACGCCTCGACCATCTGTCGATGTCCCTCGCTCGTCCACGTCGACAAATCCCATTACGAGCTCTCCTTCTCAACCCGTGCGACCGCGTGCATCAAGTAATCTTTCCTCGGCCTCAGCGCACAGTCGACAAAGGAGTACGTCAGGCAAAGCCTGGGCTCTGCAAGGCCCCGGTGGTGTAGGCACATTGGGCAGAAATGTACGAAGCCCAGGGCCTGCGCAAGATGGTCTGAACAAGAAGTTTGCTCAGTACTTACCGAATGTGGCGCCACCACCCGGTCAAGAATACTTTACGCCATGGGCGCCGAGCTTACTAGATGCGGGTGCAGGAACACCGAGTCAATACGGTGGTTCCGGAGCTGTCACACCACTTGGTGGCCCTGGTCTTGACTTCCAAGAGTTAGGTGGTGCAATAGAGGGTTGGGTGAGGAAGGTCGGTACACAAGCGCAAAAGCTTCTGAATGAACCAGGTACCCCCGGACAGGGCAAACGGTCTGCTGTGCCCGTGATTGGAGCTGTCGGCGGCGATTTGGGTGACCTCATAGAATTGCAAGATGACGCTTTCGAAATTGGAGAGGAAGAACGCAACAGGGGTAGGTCACGAGCGGAAGAGACACTCGCTTCGACCAATGAGCGCTCAGCGTCAAGGTCTGCGAAGCAGTATCAATCTGCCAGGCCCGATATCAATCTCGTGCTCAGAGAAAGAACACGAAAGAGTGAAGGAAACAAGAAAGACTAAGCGGCAATCAAGCAGCTTCGGAGTTGGGGTTGGAGTTCATAGCTGCATGCATGGTTTTATAGCTTAGTGCGGATTCGGGTGTGGTCCTGCGTATTTGCAATGCATTATTTCTGTACAGTCTCTTGTCATTCCTGTAATTATCGTTACCAACAAGTCAAGTTGGATCGGCTGTAAAAGCATAGGTGTAAAAAGTATATCCGCGTAGAATTCAATATAACGACGGTTCTAGTCGGATTGCCGAACACCGTGCACCTCCACCGAATCTATAGCGGGACAAGATCAAGATGCGCTAAACACACTCGCACGTGCACATTTTGGTGCTCGGCTTCTCGCTTCTAGCACTAATATCAGTCTGCAAACGTGGGTATCCTAGATGTTGGTCAAAAGTGCATTAGGCAGGTCGCTTGTTGCCCTGCGGCATCGATCGGCATATGAAGTTACTCCACTCCGACTTGCTCGATACCTGACTCTATCAGCTGGTCGTCCCGCCCTCACTCGCACATCGCCTCTGCCACTGTTGTTGTGTCCAGTCCCCAAACAACGACAGCCTCACCCCACTTCCAACATAAGTCAGATTTCGCAAACCCAAAGAGCACGCTTCGCAACGACACAGCACCTTGTCGCTGCAGCCATGGTAACAGAATCTAGCTCGGACCCGCGTGTTGAAATTCGCACGCCGCGAGACCCAAATACCTTGTCCAATTATCACAATTTTGTGACAAGACATACGAGCGTGGATTTTGACATTGATTTCGAGCGCAAGAGGCTGTTCGGTAGTGTGGTGCTTACGTTGGAGTGTTTGACGGATGAGGATGTGAAAGAGGTTGTACTTGATGCGAGGTATGTCTGAGCATGGGAAAGAGCAATTTAGTCAAACGCATTACTAACAAAACAAGCTACCTGGATATTTCCGTCGTAGAGGTTGAAGGCAAGAGCGTCAAATTCAACGTTGGCGACCGTGTGGAGCCATATGGTAGCCCGCTCTCCATCACTCTCCCGTCTCAGGTGCCAAAGGGCAAGACGGTTGATATTGAAATCAAGGTTGCCACTACCGACAAATGCACGGCGCTGCAGTGGATGACGCCCGCTCAAACATCAAACAAGAAGCATCCGTACATGTTTTCGCAATGCCAGGCAATTCACGCACGATCAGTGTTTCCTTGTCAGGATACCCCGGACGTTAAGTCAACCTTTAGCTTTGCCCTTCGTTCACCACTGCCGGTCCTTGCTTCGGGTCTGCCAACAGGCGCCACTGACTACCAGCCACCCAAGAAGGATGGCGAGAGTGGCACTATGAAGTATACGTTTGAGCAGAAGGTTCCAATGACTGTCTATCTTTTTGCTGTTGCAAGTGGTGACCTGGCATCCGCCAGCATCGGTCCGCGCAGCACCGTCTGGACTGGCCCTGAGGAGCTTCTCAAGTGCAAGGATGAGCTTGACGGAGAAATCGAGCCTTTTATGAAGGCGCTTGAGTCCATTGTTTCGCCTGCTTACCAGTGGGGACAATACAACGTACTCATTCTGCCCCCGTCCTTCCCATACGGAGGTATGGAAAACCCCGTCTGGACCTACGCCACACCCTCCATCATCTCGGGAGACAAACAGAATGTCGATGTCATTGCTCACGAGCTGTCGCACTCTTGGTCTGGTAATCTCGTTAGCGCAGCCAGCTGGGAGCACTTTTGGTTGAACGAAGGCTGGACTACGTACTTGGAACGCAGAATCGCTGCTGCCCTTCACGGAGAAGCACACCGCCATTTCTCTGCTATCATTGGCTGGAAAGCGCTTGAGCAAAGCATTGAAAATTATGGAAAAGACCACCCCTACACCAAGCTGGTCTTGGACCTCAAGGGCCAGGATCCAGATGATGCATTTTCTTCTATTCCTTACGAAAAGGGGTTCCATGCCCTATATCAGTTTGAGCTCCTGCTCGGAAAGGAGAAGTGGGATTCTTTCATTCCTCACTACTTTGACACGTTCAAGTTCAAGAGCGTAGACAGCTACGACTTCAAGAGCTGTCTGATCAACTTCTTTGAGAAGGATGCAGAGTCCAAGGCAAAGTTGGATAGCTTTGACTGGGACAAGCTGTTCTACGCGCCTGGCTACCCGGTCAAGCCTGACTTTGACCAGACTATGGTCAAGAGCTGCTACGAGTTGGCGGACAAGTGGGAGGCTCTGGTCTCGTCTTCAAGCGACTTTAAACCCACGGCGTCAGATATCGAAGGATGGGTATCCAACCAATCCGTCGTCTTCCTCGAGCGTCTCCAATCCTTTGCAAGCAAGTTCTCAGCCGAGAGCGTCCACTTGCTCGGTGCAACTTATGGCTACAAGACTACTCAGAACATCGAAGTATCATCGCGATATTTGAGTATTGGTCTCATGGCCAAGGTAGAGGAGTCGTATGAACCATCTGCTGAGCTGTTGGGTCAAATTGGTCGTATGAAGTTTGTGAGGCCCATGTTCAGGCTGCTGAATGAAGCCAATCGCGATCTGGCGGTCAAGACGTTCGAGAAGAACAAGGACTTTTATCATCCGATTTGCAGACAGATGGTTGAGAAGGACTTGTTTGGGAAGGAGAAGTGAAGAGGCGGAAGAATAAGGGTATGTCAAGAATGAATACAACCTTGAACTTGTTATGAACAGGTCCTTGGATCTTAGTGAACAGTCTTAAGGTGATTTTCATATATATGCTCTCTAATAAAACAGTGGAACTCTTGATGCTACCATCAAGCGTCTACCATAATACCCTCGGAATAACTCTAGATCTAACCCCAGCTCTCGGTGGCACTCAGCCGAGAAACCAGACGTTTCTCGCGGCGAAACGCCCCGCCGGAATACCCAAATCGGAACTTCCGCCCCCCACCTCCACGCATGCTGGGCTGCTGCATCACCCATGGAGCCCCCGTGGCGTGTGTTTAACCCCTCATTCAACCGGAGAGAAGACAAGACCGCATCATTGCACCTATCCCGCATCTTATATAAAAACCCGCATCCCGAGCCGCCCGCGAAGAAGAAAAAAATGGCACCACCCAAACGCGCTCTTTTTTCGCTCAATCTCGACACAGACGCCGATCACGTCTACCAAAGAGTCGAAGACCACAGTAAACCCAGCGACGAGCGCATTAAAGTCCTTGAGACAAAAGGAGCTACACACGGTCACACCGATCTAAGTTTCGTAACGAAGCCCTTTGAAAAAACTGTGAATCGAGCCGTTGAAAACGTACTCGACGGGAAAAAAGTAGTATCAAAAGAAGGCGAGATAACATACTCGACCACCAGCTCTGGTACAACACGATCAAAAGGACGAGTCACACGCAACGACGAAGACGACCCATCGTCCGACCACGAACCCAGCAACCTAAATATCGTCAGTAAATCCAAGCGACGCTCCCTGGAAAAGAAATACGACACTTCTGAACTCTAAACACACACACACACACACACACACACCCATATCAACCACGAAGAAATGGCAGACCAAACCCCCCTCCGCATAGTCGTGGGCTGCGACGACGCAGGCGTCGGCTACAAAAACACGCTTATCAAAGACCTCGAATCCGACTCCCGCGTCGCCAGCGTCACAGACGTCGGTGTCCCTTCCTCTTCGGACAAAACCGCCTACCCACACGTCGCCGTCTCCGCCGCCCAACTCGTCGCCTCGGGCAAAGCTGACCGCGCGCTGCTAATCTGCGGCACTGGGTTAGGCGTCGCCATTTCCGCGAACAAAGTCCCCGGGATCCGGGCTGTGACTGCGCACGATAGTTTCTCGGTGGAAAGGGCTATTCTGAGTAATGATGCGCAGGTGCTGTGTATGGGGGAGAGGGTCGTGGGGATTGAGCTGGCGAGGAGGCTGGTGAGGGAGTGGTTGGGGTACAGGTTTGATAAGGGGAGTGCGAGTGCGAAGAAGGTGGAGGCGATTATGGAGCATGAAAGGAAGAATTTTGAGGGCTTGGTTAAGGAGCAGGGGGGTCAGAGCTGTTAAATCTTTTTTTTAGCTACTATTATAAATGTTAAAACAATGGTTTTTTCTGGGGGTGTTTGAATTGGTCTGTAGTTATGTTATATGTATAACTATTGTTTATGTACATGGTGACTTTTACGACCCAAACTCCCAAACATCCTTCCTATACCCCTCCGTCAGTTCCTCATCCGTCCCATATTTCTCCTGCCACTCTGTAAATCCACCTTTAAGTACCACTACTTTCTGCTTCTTTCCTCCTTCCTTCTCATTTCCCTCTTTCTTCTCCACTCCTTCCCCTTCCTCCTTCACTTCTCCCTTCGACTCCACACCCCCACTTCCTTCCACCCTCTCCTTCTCCCTCAAATACCTCAACGCAGCACTAGGTCCCCGCTGCTGGCTCAACGCACAATGGAACACCACAGTCTCCTTGTCTTGTAGCGTACGCAGCAGTTCGGGCAGCTTGAAGTCGAGATCGCTAGAGGGAACCCATGTGGAGCCTCGGATGTGGCCGCCGATGTGGTCGCTGTCACGCACGTCGATGATGGCTGTGGAGCCAAGGAGGCTGCGTTTGGGTTGCGCGTCTGTGGCTTCGGAGGTGGAAGGAGTAAAAGTTGAGGCGAGGGTTTCGCGGTCTATGAATTCGAGGTCTGAGAGAGTGATGGAGGACATTGTTGCTGCGGGGCCGCGCGCGGGGTTGCGAGTGTGTAGTAGTTTGAGGTGGAAGCGTCGTAGAGCCAGCTTGGGCGGGAGAAGGGGCAGGGTTATATTCTGAGCGATAAGGACAGCGTGGGGAGCACAAAAAGAGGGTAGGTGTGGCTTTCCAAGGTGTTTACATTCAGTGACGTAAAAGGTTGGCGTGGGCGGGGGCAACGAGGACGGGAACGCGTGGGCGCGTGAGAGGCGTTCGTTTACACGTAGAGGGGAAGACACCATCGACAGGGGATATGGCGACATATCTATATATATATTCCAGCTTTACAAGTTGCACATTGATACACCAAGACACATTCATGCCCAAAACTGAAGACGGACAGATATTGCAATTGAGAGTCAACGACATATCATCAAATCCAGGTGCTCATATTAACACCACGCACCGCATGCATCCACAGTTTGAACCCCCCATGCAAACCAAAGGTATAATACACATACCGTATCGCCAAGAACGCCAAACAAGCCTCCTAAGCACGCCATTACCGTGGGGCTTAATCATGCTTTGCGCCCCCAAAATTGCCGTTACCCAGACCGCCCAATAGCCCATCCTTTTCGCCCAACTGAAAGTACGATCCCGTGGTACCGAATTGCCTTCGTCGCCTCGACTTACCAAACAGCATGACTGCCGTGAAGAAACCAACAAACAAGCCCAATGAGATGAATGGATGGTTGCCGATGAAGTGGCGAACAGATATATAAGTGGTCATGAAACGGCCGGTAGAAGACTTGGGGGTAATCTTGGGAGGGTTGGCGGTGACCATTTTGATCGTTTCCAAGATAGCAGCACGGGAAAGGCGGATTGGCTCGCCGGAAATGGTGCTGTCCCAGTAGCGGCGATTCTGTATTGAGTTAGTAAGTGTGGTTTGAAGTAATAGTTGGACAGATAACTCACATCCTCGTCGTTGATGATGACGCTCTCGCCATCTTTGATGTCAACACCGTACGTAGTCTTGATCCAGCGCTCCCAGAAAATACCATCGACCCACGCGAAGCCAACCTGGACACGATCGATCTTATCCATGTCGATACGGATGTTCTTTGCGTTTTGGAGAGCACGCTCGTCATTTTTGTCCTCTGCCTCTTCGATGCGGAGCTGCTTGGCATCACGGAGCTCTTGTCGGGAGAGTTGGAAGGCTGTTTCCTGCTTGTCGATCCACTCCAACGCGGCGCTCTTCAGCTCACGCTTGGCAAGAATGAACTCGTCAGAACGGTCTCGGTTCAGTATTCCCAGCACGACAATCTTGCCATCCATGATATCGCGGGCGTTGAGGGCAGTCATCTCTGGAACGATTGGTAACCAGACCGTCTTCATCCAGCTAAGGACCTTCTTGACATCACGCATCTCAAATGGCGTCCGTGGCGGGTAGTACGTGGGATTTCCATCTCTTGCAACCATCAACCGCGGCCAGGTAGAGATCTTGAACCGATCAAACATGGCCTTGTCACTTGTCTTGACCAGCTTAGCATGACCAATCAAGCTAAGAGGAAGTCGCTCTAGCGCCTTGAAGTCCTCAGAAGTGGTTGCGTGGTCGTAAAAGTAGACGAAAATGACCTCCTCCTTTTCTTCCATCTTCTTAAACTCTTCAGCGGTAACATCTGGCACACCGGCGCCAATGGCTGCCGCCTTCTCAGCATAGTCAAGCAAATCGCCCAACCCACGGAGGCCGTGGTACTCGACACGCTCGCCGCCGCGGAAGAAGAGCATAGTTGGGTAGCCTTTCACATGTGCCTCCTTGCATAGCTTCTTCTCGACATCACAGTTGACTTCTCCAATGTTGAGCTTTCCCTTCATCTGGCGCGCAAGATTCGCCCAGGTTGGCGCAAGAGCCTGGCAGTGGTGACACCACGGTGCATAGAATTTGATAAACCAGGGTTCCAGTGTACTGACCACATGCTTGTCAAAGTTGTCTGCGGTAAGAATTGTGACGGTTCCAGAGGGATTCGCAGTCGAGGCTGGTTTGGCTGGTGCGGGAGATGGCTTGGTCTCCTTTGTGGGAGTTGCTTTGAGCGCTGCACTTGCGCTGGGACTCGCACTTGCAGCTGCGGGTTTCTTCTTCTCGACCTTTTCTTTCTCCTTCTCTTTCTTGTCGCCGTCGCCAGCCTCTTTAGGATCAGGGCCGGTCTCTACAGAGGTAGCGCCAACCTTTGGTAGCTTAGGACCACCCTCCTTGCGAGTACCAGGCCGGATAGATTCCAAAAGTTCCTCTACCCAATCGCTGAATTCCTTCAATTCCTTGGAACCTCGGAGTTTCTGCTTTTCCTCGCCATCCTGGATGAACATTAGAGTCGGGTAGCTTGCAATCTCGCGGTCCTTGCAGAGATCAGCGTAAGCGACGCAATCGACCTTGGCAAACTTGAAGTCATAGTATCGTGTAAAAGTGTTTAGAGAATCGCCGTCGGCATCGTCGGAGGACAGAAAGGGTTTCGAGGTATAGTAGAACTCGTACGCGGTCTGGTAGATGGGCTTGAAGTGCATGCAATGGCCGCAGTAGGGCGAGAAGAACTCGACTATCCTATGTAGTGTCAGTTGAATTGATAACTGAGTCAAGTGTCTGTCTCGGCTTACCAGTTGCCCTTCTTGGTCTCCGTCGCTATAGTGGTTGGTGTCAACTCGATCATGGGCGGCACCTTCTCGCCATTGAAGGTAGTGTCTGCGCCCTTTTCGTCCCAGGCATCATCTTTGCCGGCGTCATTGGCGCCTGATGCGTCTGCAGCGAGAGTGGAGGCTACAGTCGCCAGCGACAGTAGGGCATAGAGTATGGAGCGCATGGTGGCGCTGGTGGCGGCGTGCGGGATGCGCAAAAGAGGAACGGCTCCTCAGTGTAGCCGTTCACGGGCGCTGTAGACGCTGTAACAAGCGTACGTATATATCGCCGTAGCCCCTAAAATTCGATTGTGAGGGTGTGTGGTGACACCAAGAGGGAACCGTGTCTCCAAAAATGTATTGTCCCTGAACGCTTACATGGGACGGCTGCCTCTCCGCCCCGGCTCCATATTGCTTGGCAAGTTGCATCTTCGTCCTGACGGCATCAGCACCGCGCACGCAAGCTATCCATTGCGCCACGACCCCACCTCCAATCCTCTCCCCGCAACCATGAGGGCCGCCTTCCGCCTCCTTGCCAGCGTCAAGCCCGGCCAATTCCTAGAGCCCGGCGCGCCAACCGGCCTCACAGGACTCTTCACCCACCCGGCGCCGCGCTCCACCTTGCTCTATCACTACAACGCCACTCTCGACAAGCTCAAGCAGCTCCCCGAGTCGTCCGTATACCGCCAGTCCACCGAGGCTCTTACCAAGCACCGCCTCGCTATTGTCGAGCAATCCAAGCCCGCAGGATGGGACGCATGGCAGGAAAGAATCAAGCTGCAGATCAGCGATGACCCGGACAACTTCCAAATCATCAACACAGCCAGCGGACAGACTGTGGTTCTCCCTCCACAGCCTTTTGTGGATGAGCGAGACAAGGTCGCAGAGTGGGATGGTGAAGCGGTGCAGACTTTCCCCGAGGGCATCCGCTCGTCCAAGGAGCGTCTGCCCCACGCCAAGAAGATGAAGGGCGACGTCAACTACACGCCCGAGCGTGCCTTTAGCAAGATCAAGTTTGAGCCTGAGCCTCAGTACACTGTTGAAGCGTATGTCATGGATGGAGAGGTGGAATGCCAAGACTGGAGACTGACATTTTTATAGTATCTCGGATCTTGAGAGCAGAATGGGCGCAGGTCTGATTGAGGAGGTTATCGAAGTTGCTGAGGGCGAGCACAAGCTTGTTGATGTCATGATCCAAGCTAAGGTGTAAGTTTTTTTATTAGTAGTCTTCTTTGGAAGGGAGTTTGATCTAACGATATGTAGATGGGAGCCTCTTGAGGAACAAGCGCCAGAAGGCCAGTGGTCATACCATGAGCGCAACACGCACACCAGCACTCAGAAGCCATAGAGGGGGTTTGAGTGAGAAGGGGAGAAGAAAAGGCACACTTGTAAATAGATGGGGTGTGTAAAGAAGAAGAAGAAGAAGAAGAAGAAGAATGATAACGACATACTCGTTACGACTTGAATGTGTTGGCTTGACTTGCTGATATGAAATCACTACCTGAGTTGATTGAATTCAACTTATTGTCTTAAGTCTATTGACGTGAACTTTGCTGACATGAAATTTCGATCTGAACTCATGGGCTTGAAATTCTTAGCTGAACTCATTGCTCGGAAACCCAAACTCGAAATCATCGACTCAACCCCACTTACTCTAGATCCCAACCCATCCTTCTTCCCTCAATTCCATAACCTCACTCTCATTCCACGCATTACACCCTAATTTACAATCCTCTTAATCCTCTTCCGTTCATATCTCAATTCCCATTCCCATTCCCATTCCCATTCCTATACCCGCTTCAATTTCCTTTTACCCTTACTTCTCCTCGCCCTGCTCCCCCCTCAACGCCCCCAACCTAACCTGATTCCTCTTGACCAAAATCCTCAGCGTATTCTGCCTCTCAATCTCCGCCATGGACTCCCAATTCGCAATGCGCGACAGGGTGCCGTCTTTATTCACCACCAGGGGCCCCAGGTGGTCGAGTTTGACTGCTTGGCCGTCGACGTTGAGTTGGGTGGTAGTGTCGTCTGTGGCTGTGGAGGGGGAGGGGAGGGGCAGGGGGGCTACTGATGTGGATGCTTGGTCTTGGTCTTGGTCTTGAGGGGGGTTTTGTGGGTCGGTTTCTTGGATGTTTGTGGTTTGGACTTGCTCGGATGGTGGGGTGTGGGATGTGGATGAAGACATCGTGTGGTTGTGGTGCTGAAATTGAACTTGGTGAGTTAAGTTAAATAGAGTTGTGAGCGAGGTTTTTGCGTTTATGCGAGTAGCGCTTGATGGATAGAAAATTGCTCGTCGCTGTGTGCGTAGAATTTGGGCAAGAAATCTTGTTGGTTGCATGAATGACATTGAGAAGCATAGAATGATATAGTCACAGACTAGTTATATGAGTGTTGAGGTTGCGAGATGTAGAAATGGTGTTGGAAGCTTCTTGTTTGTGGTGGTGCTTCTAGAAAGCTCCGGGCACTGTAGCTACATCACACGAGCGTACCCAGTGCTTTCTTTTTTTTTCGCAAGAACATCACGCATAGAAAATTGAGACACAGAAATATAAGTCTCTTAAGTCTCTAGTATGGCCTTTCTGTCGGCCCTCAAAAGACACACAAGAGCGCTCTCCAGAATCAGCATGAGCAAATTACGCATGTGGTTGTGTGTGTGGGGTCCCAGTCGAAACAGGCAAGAAACCACAGCCAGGGAGTCCACTTTTTTTCCCTTCAGGATATCTGGTATACAACGGCCCACTAATCCCGCCCGTGTGAACCATCTTCCGCCTTCGGTGTCACGTTTGTTTTTTTCCTTTGTTCTTTGACATAGGCGAGTTTGCAATGTTATCAACGTTATCGAACAAGGAGCATGGACCAATTATCTCGGCCGGTAGCAGCCACCATGGCACTATACATACGTAGGTGTACAGAATGTTGATAGTCTCGAAACACCTGGTTGCTGGGTAAGGCCCTTGTATGGCGCAATCACATACACAAGGTGCATTTGAAACGAGAAGGGTTTTGACAGAAGCGAAAGAAGGCTGTGGGTAGACATGTCCTGCATGCACGCCGGCAGCACGATGGATGAGGATTGCAAATGCGTGTGTGTAGTGTAGGATGCGGCACAGTGCACAAGGGGGGACCCAGGGAAACGGATGGCAGCGACAGGCGCCATATCTTGAAGACACACGGCAACCCGTGTCCCAGCAGAAGCGTGTCAACTGCCGCTGCAAGGCGGACCCCAACACAAGCACCCGCGTTAAGGCGCTGATTTCACAGTGGCAGGCGAGTCGAAACAAAGCAGGGCAGAGGGCGGCGGAAGAGTCCATCCGGGCGCAGCATCAGCGGCGAATGGTATGGTTTTGGCATGGTTGTGGTATGGCGGCTACGCAATGTGGACGTCAGGGGGGCCCGTTCCAGCCCTCACCGGTCCTTTTATTTTTTATTTTTTTTCCTTCGGGGAAAGCGGGCAGACCAGAGGAGGAGAGTGAAACTCACGAGGTGCATGGCATGGGGGGAGGGGCGGACATGGGATGTCGGCGGACAGGCGCCACGACACACTCACGGCGAGCGGGTCAGAGGCTGCTGCACTGCTGCACGACATGGCGCTTGTGTGCCTGTGTGCCGGCGGGCCTTGGCAGACTGGCAGGGTGACGGCAGCTGGACACACAGGCGGGCAGAGCAGCCCACTTTGACGCCCACCCAGCTCCGGGTATCATCCACACTCCCAGATCCGGGAGCGCAACCGCAAGTGGGACTGGAGCTTATTCCAACTTCGCGCGCTGACTGCTCACGTCCCAGCAGTCCCAGCATCGTGGACAGCCCCCCCTTGAACCTTGAAGGCGACGACGCGTACTCTTGCTGGGAGAGAAAACTGCCTGAGACGGCCTAGTGGTTTCGGGGATTAGGCTGGGCACGATGCGCAATTTCCAGCGGCGAGCACGGTGTCGGGTTCGCAACGAGGGTGGTGTCGGGCGTGCCGCTGCCATGGCATGGCTGGTGATGGAACAACACGTGGGGTTCCCTTGAGCGCCGCTGCAGCCAGCAGCCAGCAGCTAGCGACAAAAAAATGCACGGTGGCAGCAACCCTCGTCGCATCTGCTCGTTCCGGTTCCCTCTCTTAGCAGTGACAGCAGGGCATGCATGCCGTGCAGCCGGAGAAAATTTGTCGGCCAGCATGCTGTCGAGCGCCTCGGCGTTTTGTTCCGCAGAAAAAGCGCGCCTTGTATCCTGCCAAGTATGTAACGTAAAGCATCGGCAGACCGCAAGCGAGAACCACGGCAGGGCCCTTGTTTGTGCACGGCCGAGCCGCCGGCTGGGACTGGGACAGCGGCGCTGGCTAGGTGTAGTGTACTTACTAAACATATGTACGTGTGCGTGTGTGTGAGAATCTAGGTATGTGCAGAACATAGACGGTTATGTACGCTCTGTGCAGAAACAAGAAAGCGGCAGGCGTGTGCAAGCAAGCAAGTATAGCCGTCGAGACAATCATCCCGGCACTTCACCGATGCTACCTCGACCTAGTGCTCGCTGTAAGAACATGCCGACCACCAGAATAGCTGCCTGTCACCGTATCAACTCGAGTCAGCCGCGGCATCGTGATCAGACGACACTAGCCGTCATCTGTAAAGCTAAGTGGCCGACCCTTAGAGCAATTGTCGCTGTTGCGGCCATGGCAGGCGTGACATGACTGTATCTGTGTGTGTGTGTGTGTGTAATGGTATCGTTGTGCGTATGTAGTAAGTATAGCACCGCCAGCACAACCACGTCGCGCCTTGCATTGTTGGCCGCCGCCGTCGTGCCGCATGCGCCGTTTCGATTTGACAACAGTGCGCCGCGGACCTGCTCGCGTCGAGGTGCCCAGGCTTCGAGAAGACGTGTTTCAAGGCCGGAGGCGTGACTGTACTCTAGGCTAGGCATGGGGAGTGAGCCTGTATGTACCTACATACATGCCATGCACGCACATTGGAGTAGTGTACACTACATTGCAGGAGCGTAGGCCGAGCGATTGACGAGCCGAAGATTTAGCGGACGCCGTTGCAATTGCTGGCTGCAATCTCAGGCCAAGGGTCCCCCTGCATCTGCGCTAGGCCGCTCTGGGATAAACCTACGTCACGCTCACCAGACTTTTCCTTCCAGCCTCGGCGGCGACCAACAGCCACGGCCGCCACGCCAGGTGGTGCCGGTCGGCCATCTTGCCTGTCTGCCCATCAACTCATCCATCTGGCCGTGTGGCAGCACAGGATTCGCACATGTTTCGGGCAACGAGCATCTGCAACTCGAGTGATGTCGCGGGCGCCCCGTGCAGTCGAACCGCGGGCGTCTGTTGTCTGTGTTCGCCGGACGCCGTCGGTTTCATGGTCGGATATAAGGGAAAGGACCCTAGCAAAGCCACAACCGCCAATGCGACAGCAAAGCTCGGCCTTTGTCGGATGGATGCTCGCTGCTCGGATGAGTTGCTTGCTCTTGCGCCTCGCTGCTCTAGAGTACCGATCCGATGGCTCTGACTCTGACAAGTTGCTGCAACTAAGGCGTGCGCGCCGACGGGTTGCTGTGCTGTGCTGTGCTGTACTGGTGGTATAGTACAGTAATAGTAATAATGTGCATGCTCGCGCGCGACCGTTTCCATGGGTGTCGCCCCTTGGCCGTCCCGTGGGCAGAAGAAAAAAAAGCTAGTAGGCGTGGAAGATTGTTGCAGTTCGGCCGTGGCTGCTAGGCCGTGTGCGTCCATGGCCAGGTTTGTGCGGCTCTTGTTCTTATCGATTGCAGCGCAGCGGCGGCGGAGTGGATGAAACCCCTAGGCAGCGCGGCCGTCGACATGGACATGGACAGCACGGCGGGTTGATACGGCGGCAGAGGACGATAGGAGACGTGGTCGGTGGGCACGATTCAAGGGCACAGCCAGCGCGTTGGCCTGGCTGCAAAGGGCCTGCGTGCATGGGCAACGCAATTGGGTGCCTGCTCCGTTAGCACACGAACAGCTGTCGTCATTGGTAATGGCCTTTCTTGCAGCGGACAACGGGCAGCGCATACGCGCTCCAATGCAAATGCAGACACGGTGCGAATATAACGTACATGAAAAGTCATCCAGAGTCCAATCACGTGTGCCGCTGCTACTACCCTTTCGGCGCTTCTTTGGGGCCTGAGTGCATTGTCTTTCTCCTACCTCCTCCCACTACCCTCCGCACGCCCTGGTTTCTGTAACGTCGTGGCCATCCCATCCCATCCCATCCCATCCCATCCCGACGCGCTTGCCGCCACACCACCCTGTCCGCATCCACGTCCACGTCCACACCCACTCCCACACCCGCACTATCACTTTCTGCTCCCATCTCGTGCGGGTCCCGGCCTCTCTGCCTGTTCCCCGTCCATTATTCATCTTTGCTCCTCCACAAGACATTGCACGACTACTCTACACTACACGCTGCCACTGCCACTGCCACTGCCACTGCCACTACCCGACTCTTGCTACTAACACTACTACTATCGTTGCCCTGTGCAAATCTGCGCCCGCTACGACCAACCGTCGGCCAAGCTTCGGCATTCAGCAGCACGCGTGCGCAAACAGGAAGTGCTTGGTGCGGAAAGCCGACGCTCGACTATAGCACCGTCCTGTGCATATTTTTTTCGCCGACCAGTACCTGTACCCCGAGCTACCTTTACCTTCCCCCCTCGCCCCCCTCGCCCCCCTCGTCCACCCCCAAGCCTCCCCCAACAGCCTTCATTTCTGTCGTGGGTCTTCCGTCCCTGCCTTGTGCATCGCCCTCTCCACTTGGGCTATCCGCAATCAGTCGGCTGAGGCTGAAGTGTGTGTGTGGGCCTCCGATCTGCAGCAGCTTCCTTGTCCCTTCGCGTGATTACCGCGCCAGCCAGCCAAACCATCGCAGCGCTTTTTACTAGTGCAGCGCAGCAAAGTCCATCGTCACCGACCCATCACCTTTTTCAATTCTGCGCCGTCGCTACGCCTTTCCACTCCCAACTCTTGTCCCATTCACCCACTGTGGACACCACTCCAAATTCCACTTCTCCCGTCAAAAGGTACCCGCCGACGGACGCGAATCGACTGTTCATCACAATCCCCCACACAGGCTCCACCCTACAAAGCTTCTTCGTGGGCCATCCTTCCTTACCTTGCGACGTTAGCCCAACGGCCCTCCTTGGTGTGCATACCCAGCCGTTGCACACGTTACTCCGCTTCTGAGCTCCGTCGAATGGTCCCGTAACGAACCACAATTGGTTGCGCCTTTTCCCCCCCATCACTTCTCCAACCTTGACCCGCCCAAAGGAGCTGTGTTGTGTACTACATTATGGACAGTACAGACCGCTTCCGCCAGCCTGGCCTAGGCAACTACCCGTCAATAGGCCAGCAGTTTAATGGTTCCCAGAACCAGCTGCCCACACTGCCGCCTCTGCAGAGCGGTGGCAGCCAGTATGCGCCGCCCATGTATGGCCATAACAGCAACCCTCACACGCCCCAGCCGCCGCATACGCCTGTGACGTCTGCGCCCAATGGCACCTCTACCATGCCGCCTCTGCAGCACCCGCCGCTGCGACCCCTCCAGCCTACGCCAACGTCGTACCTGCCCATGAGCTCGGCCTACTCACAGGCGCCCATGCTGTCCACCGCGTCCGCACACACCAACGGCCACCAGCTGGGCCCCTCACCCGGTATGGGTTTGGGACACACGTCCATGTACGCCCATCCACCTGTGCTTCCCAACCAGGAGCCCGAGCCAGTCCACGTCGTCGGTCAGCAAGGCCGACGCGGCGTTTTGCCGACCCATCCTGGACGGCCTGCGCCAGCTGCTGGTAAGACACCTACTACCGCGACAAAGAACGCCGAGGGCAAGTACGAGTGCCCGCATTGCAACAAGACATACCTGCACTTGAAACATCTCAAGCGCCATTTGCTGCGACGTAAGTTTTGTTCAACATCTAACCACAGCCAGCTGCTAATGTTACATGCTCAGACACGGGCGAACGACCCTACCAGTGTCATCTGTGTAAGGATACATTCAGCAGAAGCGACATCCTGAAGCGTCACTTCCAGAAATGCTCGATACGAAGGGGAAACCCGACTGGCGCGAACCATCTGCAGCATGCGCAGCAGCACCTGCAGAAGAACAGACAGCCCACTGGTGCAGACCAGAACTCGTACCTTAACCACATCGGCCCTAATGCTATGTCATACGCCGATGCTGGAGGCTACTCCATGGGTCTGCCGCAGATGCCTGCCATGGCCGGTAATGGCTTTGGCGACAACCTACCTTCGCTTGCCAACCACCAGTCCATGTCGGCGCGTACTTCGCGCTCCAACAGCTTGATGCGCCCTAGCAGCGGCGTTGAGGACAGCGCCCACCGTCGGAGCATGTCTGCTATGGACTTTGCCAATGCCCGGATGAACTTCAATGATTATCGCCCGGATGGAGTCCCCAACGGTTATCCACCACAGCAACAACAACAGCAGCAACAGCAGCAGCAACAGCAACAGGCTCAGCAGCAACAGGCACAACAACAACAGCAACAGCAGCAGCAGCAACAGCCTCCGACTAACGGTTCCGATCCCAACGGCCACTACAGCTATGAGCAGGCCTCCACAAACGGATCAATGGCGCAAAACGGTATGACTGTTAAGAGTGAGGGCACCGACCCAGCTTCATATGGAGTCTCTACCCTGCCAAACGTTGATGGCATCACCAATGGCCAGGATGGGTCGCTATGGCGAAATGGATCGTTCAACGGCGATATGAATAACTCCAGTACGGCAGGTGGCCCAACCTTTCAAAAACAGGCCCAGTTCTGACCGGAACTTTTAGACCTCAGATGATACACCGAATGAAAGTTTATTTGGATTTTACTCGCACGTTCCCGGGTTGGTCGACTCTTCTCCAACACTCGATGGTTGGTTCATTGGCCAAACCACCTCTGATCCAGTGCACAATCTGGCTACTTCGCTTGTGAATTTTTGCTCCCCGAATGCATCTCTACTCTCAAATCAGCACTCAACCGAGGCGTACACCCACGAAAGACTGCAAACAATATTGACTGGAGACACCGTCAAGGAATTCCTACACGAATACAGGCACTATCAAGCACATTTTCCTTTGATACACATTCCAACATTTGATCCCTTCACTGCCTGGCCCGGGCTAGTGTTGGCTATGTGTTGTCTTGGTGCTGTGTACTCTGACAAGATGAGTCCGTCAGACGTCCGTTGGCTCATGGAGCGCGTCCGGGAGAATGTGTTGCGATCTAGTCAAGTTTACGAGTTGGCGCAAGCACATCAAATGGCGAACCTTGATAACCAGCTGACGTCCACGACCGAGGAGATACAAGCCCTGGTCCTACTCCATTCTCAGTTCCTATGGCACGGTTCGCAGCAGCAACGTCAGCAAGCGCGAGATGAAGTCCGGGCTGTGGCTAACGTCACGCGATGTGCTGCACTCTTCCAACCGCTCCCGCCTGACAACTTGAATGCAAGCGCGTTGCATCAACCAGGACCGGTAACTGGCGAGGAGGTTGACTCTTGGAGTTGGAGTCTCTGGATTGAGAACGAGAAACGGGCTAGATTAACAGCATACATTTACTTGATCGACGCTTCTGCTACAATATTCTTCAATTCTCAGCCGAGATTTGACCCTAAGAGCATCACAGTTCCTTTGCCTGCTGACGATGCAGCTTGGGAGGCGAAGACATCGGAAGACTGTGCTAGCGCCCTGGGTCTACGAGGACAGGCAGCACAGGCATTCAATGAGTCCGGTAGCAGGCGTGCGAAGCAACTGGCCTTGTCCGAGGCTTTGAGCGTACTCAACGGAACCTGCCCAGGAAAGTTTCCTGAGCGGGCTACCAATGTCTTTGGCAAATTTATCCTCATCCACGCTATTCATACCCAGATCTACGACATCCAGCGCCAACTTATCCAACGAATGTCTTCAAGCGGTGCGAGCACACCTCAATCTCAAAGCGGTAATGTAGCGGCACCAGTCAATGGAGTCAACGAGCAAGTGCAGAACCAACTTCGCTCCACGGTTGGTGCTCTGAATCTATGGAAGACCTGCTGGGACAAGGACCTAGCCATCCAATTCACTCATCGCCAGCGCCGACGTGGGTTCTGCCGAGATGGCATTCACTTTTACTTCTTGGCACAGGCATTCCTTCGACAATCACGCCCTGAGGACTGGGCGACGTCTGCAGATGTTCGATGCAGACACGTCTTTCACCTCCTGAAGCAAATCAGGCCGTACGTCGCCTCGGATTCTGCGCAAAAGGGTATTGAGATTGGTTCCATGACCGAAATTGCTGACGATTATGCAATCGCTGATCTCACCCTCAACATGAGGAACCTCTTCACTCCTCTCGACGAAGTATGAGCACTCATTCAGGCCCAATTCAAACTTTCAACCAACACAGCTACCTAGCATCATTCAATCATCATACGAAACCAAACCGCGAGCTGCGATATCTAGCTCCAAATAAACCATCTTCGGTACATCATCCAGGTTTAAAAGATCGGTCTGTCACGACCATCGTCATCATCATCATTGTCATCCCCATAACAACTAGAATTATAAGCATACAAGTTTTCTCTTCTCTCAGCACGATCGAGTTTTTGCCAGGTCTCGCATTTACATAGGAGTCCCTGGAGTCAACCTTTGCACGGCGGTCATTTGACATGCGAGGTTTCACGAATCATCAACGGCGGTAACTTTACGATCGACTCTTCAACATCCAAAACGCATTAGACAAGTCACATCTCATGGTCTGCATCTGCTGGACGCGGCCAATCTCTCTCTCTCGGAAAAACAAAACGCCTAAGAATTTGGAGGCGAAATAGGATTTTGTCAGATCATGGGGCTGCCTTACAATTTGCAGTGCAGATTAGGCTGTGTGGGACGTATTAGCTCGAAAATTCAGTGTACATGTTCATTTTGTTGTTTTCCTACATTGCTGCAAGACTACTCCAATTGCATCGTCCGGTGTTACTGCTCTTTGGGAGAGAAATAGATTAGAGACCGGATGTAAGGGAAGTGCGCCTAGTAGCTTGTCCCATGAAAAGTCCTCAATGAAAACATGTTTGCTTTGAATCTTGGCTGCCGTTTTTGTGAGATGATGCATTGAGAAAAACTAGTTTGACAAGGGGAGGGGGAGAAGGAGGCGGGGTGGAAGCTGGAGGCTTGGCCACCCCTCTCCAGCCATGATGCAGTTAGCACTTGCATTTTGATGACGCAGTTTTTTTCCAGCCACATGCCACCGTCCATGCAAAGCATTTCCCAGCCTCCCCGAGATACCCTTCTACGTACTAATCGCCCAAGTACTGCGGCACACCGTGCTGATACTCAGCTCCCGCACACATACCATGGTAGACTTTATTCTCAACGCAATCAGTCAGCTAGCATGTCAGTTATCACATCAGCAAACACGTCATTTTCCAGAGGCGGTCGAGGATGACTGTGCTGGCGGACACTGTTAGGGCCAGGCCTAGTCTGCACATATTTTATATCGATCGCGTTAGATCTGCCTCTACTGTAGATTGTTGCTTTCCTCCTAGGGCGGCTGATGGCAAGGTTCGTTGTTGTACGACTGACCTATTGGGGTTCCAGGAATGTAAGACGGACGCGATACGAAGAGAGAGGGCAACAGGTTTTTATCGCAAGCGCAAAGGTCTAGATGATGAGCGAAGAAGCAATGCAACGCATGGACTGCATCCACAGCTAACTCGAACCCCGCTTCTCGGTCATCACGGACCAAGTCAAGCTCCCGACGCGCCGGCATGCTACTTTAGACTTTGATCAGCTCTGTTGTCCCCTATAAACCAAAGCAGGTTGACCTTGCGCCTGCAAGCAAGGGTTTGTCGTCACCACAGGCACCCACACGCCATTTGCATCGCCTTCCCCTACCCTGGAAACGGCACACAGTTCCCCTTCCCCGACTTTTCAACAAAGACCATGATCGTCAAGAATGAGCTTCCAACGGTCGTTTAGCAGGGAATTGTTAAGATGGAGACCAAAAGGCCTGGAACTGGCCCATACGTCGGCCTTGTGCATGGCAGGAGCAAGGATGTTTATCCATACGCCTTCAAGACGTCGAGATGCCAAGAAGCAGAGTATGTCAGGAAAACGCATAGTTGGGCCGAGCTGACGCGTTTTGCGACACAGGATTGGCGACGTGGAGGCGACAACACGACGCGCCATGCTTGCTCCAACAGCGATGGAGAAGGCGCTGAGGTGTCCAGGAAAGCCACAAAGTACAACGGATTCCTTTACCGACAATTACACGTCGGGAGCCAATGCATCTCATGAATCGTTTGATCACGCGCTAAGGTATCAGGTCCCGACATACCCAACAATACCACCACTTCAGCCTCTCAATACGACACATGGTACCCATCGAGCCTGTGGCCTCGGCATGTCTCGAAGCAAGCGTTTACCACGACCACCATCCATGCATTTCACCACCGTGGTTGGGCACAAACCTCCGGCCTATGCGCCTGTACAGATAGCAAAAAAATGCAGTGTTGACACGTTCAGTGTCTTTGAGATTGACGATATCGCCGAAGAGAAGGGAGCTATTACTGGCTTCCTGAGTGTCCCAACACAAGGAAGATGCTCACGAACGTCCTCCATGTCCTCAGTTGTGTCGGAAATATTACACCAAGAGCCTGGAGCTATCTACATACGGCCGTCAGCACAGCTTCAGAACATGCAATCTGTTAGCGATTGTGACAGAAAACTGCAAGAGGCTGCACGATTCTACAGTTCGGCCATGTGCAAACCGAACAACCTGGGGATCCATACGCCGACTGGAACCCCAGAATCAATTTCCAACATTCCTTTCAGGACCAGCGTGTACCAAGCGCACGCCAAACTCAACCGCTCTCTCCAATCTATTCCGAACCTAGGAAGTTGTAGGGGCATACAAAACTGGGCCAGATCAAGTGAATGGGTAGAGCCCTGCCAAACGGCCGAAGGACCGACTGAATGGATTGAAGACTTTCTCACCCGCAAGGAGCAAGCAGATCGTGCCGAAGAGGAACAGACACGCAATGAGAAAAAAGAAAAGATCACCGTCATGCGTGGGAACAGCCTCGACAAATTCAGAAGAAGACTCAGCATAAGAAGGGTCCCGGAGGAGAGAAGAAACACTGTCCCACGGCGGAGAAGGTCAGACATGGTCAGCACGCGTGACCGGGCAAGAGCTGTGTCGTGGGACATACGTACGCATGAGAATATTCTTGAACAATACGACTTTCCCAATGGACTTTCCCCAAAGCACACTCCATCGCCACCACCCTTCAACAGCGTGGAAAAGCCACCGGACCAGTCAGCGCCAGCGCTACAGCGATCCCCGGTCTCCCACGATTCAATTCCAACCATAAAAGACCCACTGAAAGAAAACTTATCACAGCTCTCTCTGCACACACCAAAATACACATGTCACGATCGCTCATCATCGAAAAACAGCAGTCTTCCTAGGCTAAAATTCAGATCCGTATCGATGATTGGTGCGGACGTGAAGAAAAGCTTCTGTACGACCGTTGTCCCTGTCATTGTAGAGGGAAGAAATAACATCTCCGAGTTGGTGAGCAAAATGGAGAAGCTCGGGCAGGGCTTGACTTGGGGGAAGATTGGGAAGAAGGTGAGATTTAAGAGGAAGGGCAAGGGAGCGAAGAGGAAGGATAGTGCTTCAGGACGATGATTAAAGAGTGGTCAGATGGCGGAAACCAGTGTAATTAAGCAAGGCTTACATGCTGGCGGTCTGATTTTTTCTGGAGTTCAACGGTGGGTGTGGGGTTTTTGAATTTACGGCGCAATGGTGGGAATTTTAGAAGTACAGCATGGCCAGGGGAATTCTGGTAAAAGCTTTTGGATTATTTTATAATGTCTTGTTATATTTCATTGCTCATTGCTGGGGTAGTCATCCTGGGCGTGAGAGTGAGATAGGAGAGATATCGAGTTTAATTGAACCTCTTTCACCGTATATTGTGTGAAGCAAAAGAACTCTTGATCTAGGCGAGATTCTCCTTCTTTTTTGGGGGAACTGCTTTTTTCATACCTGTACTAAACCTTTTCGATACAACAGGACAAACGTATCTTAATAGTCCAACATCTACGCTAAGAAAATCTTAGTCCCAATCACATCACCACATTCACCCATCCAATCATTCATACTTCAAAATTGCAGTTAAAAAGCGTATTACATTATCGCAAATATCATCGCCACGCTAATTAAATTCGTTTTTGTTTACGCAGTACCCGTAGCCGAGCTAATCGGCAGCGTAACAGGCATTGGGGTTCCCGTCGCGGAAGCAGTGGTAGAAGAACTGCCTCCTCCTCCACTACCACCGCCATTCTTCTTCTGCACTACCGCCTGCACGACTTGGCCGGCAGTGTTGGTAATGATGTCGACGAGCGCACCAAGCGGTTCGTATGAGTAGGTCTTTTGGGTGAGACCTTTGCCGACTTGCTTGATGCTGCCTTCGACTTCGGTCATGTTGAGCTGTTGTATTTGTGAGTTGGTGTCAAAGTGGGGGAAAACCAAGGGAATTTACCTTGTAGTTTCCGACAATCTGGGAAATAGCATCTGTGCCTGCTCCGACGACTTCTTGGACAATGTTGCCCAGGTTGTCGACGAGAAAGCTGAGAGTTTTTCCGTTTTGCGTAATGGATCCGAGCTAGAGCATTTCGTTAATTTCCATCTTGTTTGAATGCCTTTTTTTTTAAAGAAGTGAATATTCAATCAAAACTTACCAAACCATCAACTGCTCCAATGACTTCGCCAACAAGATCCGTAACGTTTCCAATCAAGCCGATCAGGAGAGGGTTCAGGTCCAAAGAGTCAAACACACGCTCGACAATCTGGACCAAGTTGCCCAGACGTACGACGAGCTCGAGATTAACATCGACATCCGCAATGGTAATGTTGACCTTCTCAATACCAACTTGCACACCGGCGTTGATCTGGACGAGCCCCGCGACTTTGGCATTGAGGTTAAGATCGGCTTGCAGTTTCTCGACCGTCAATTCAATGCGGCCTACATGCAGCTCTGGAACGCGGAGCAACACATCTGGGGGATTGGATCCCGTAGGCGCAACCTCGGGAGGTCTGGTCGCGGTGCCATTGACGGACGGACGATTACTGCTTGTGGGCGGAGGAGTCGAAGGCACCCCCGACGACGTCTGCGCGGTAACGAACGTAGCAAAAGTAAGAAGAATGCTGATGAGCAGTAGACGGAAAGAGAATGACGACGACGACATCTTGGGGGCAAAGCAAAAAAAAGGTGAAGCAGCAAGCGAACAAGCAGAGCCACGAAGAATGGCGAAGAGAGACAATGGTCCTATACAAGTAACCGTTTTCTTCTTCCTTTTGGTCCCATGCAACCCCTAGCACAAACGCTTGTGAAGGTTATGCCCCCGCTTCCTTCCCTTCGCCTGCGCCCCCGGTTTAGTCAGGAAAATCAAGAAAAAAAGGCGGTTACGCTCATGCATGGTTGGAGTGTTGTAACGACCAGGGTTTCCCGTTATAGTAATCTCGGATAAAACCCCCTATACAGCCGGCGTACAGGGCTATGATCAAGGACGCAACCAACGACAACGGGCACCATCTGGAACGCGCGTGCCCCCCGCAGTTGGCACAACGCATGCCAGAAAGTCTTGGATTCCCATGTGCGCCGAAAATCCTGATTTTTGTATCGAATTGGAGGCGGTCTGGCTAGGATTCTCCTTAATCTTATTTTTTTGCTTCTGCACTGCCTTGGAACTAGTAGTAGACTGGGGCTAGGTAAAGCGGGTGGGGAAAAACGGTGTGGAGCAGGTAATGCGATCATGCTATGAATGCTGGGTCCGGGATGGGTTAACTGCATGTAACTCATCACGAGTATTGTGGAAAGGATGTTGTTAACCCGTTGGTCTCGCCCCCCGTTTCTCTCTTGTTGAATCTGAGCAAAAGTCGTTCGCTTTTTCTTTCCATTTCCCACCCTCTCTCTCTCTTGGGTAGTAGACGTTCGACTTTGCGGCCAATTCAAGTCTCTCTTTTATATACACACCAAAGTCAAGATGAGGTTGTCTCTTATTCCTTCCTTAACGCTTCTTTCTCTGCCATGGCTTGCAGTCGCTCAATCCGCTGCGGATGGCTACACGGGATACAAGCTCGACGTGCGAGATGACGGCGACCCAACTGCGGTGCTTTACGAGACGGAAAACACATCTTCGTCCAACATCTCTGCTCTGAACCCTATTCCGGATGTTCTTCTCAATGCCTCGGTGCACGTAGGCGAAATCTTCGTCGGCGTCGACAACCTCACCGCGAAGATTAATCTCGACGCCCAAGTACTGCAGCTACTTCAATTTAACGCAGGAGTCGACCTCTCCATCGACAAGGTCTCGCTCCTCATTCAAAACGTGACTGCAAAAGTCTACCTCGAAGCCCGCCTAGGCAACCTCGTATCAATGGTCAGCGACGTCCTCGACAGCATCGATCTCAACCCCGTCATTGCGGAGCTCGGCAACGGTCTTGGTGAAATCATCGGCGACGTAGGCGATGCCGTAGGCGGAATCGCCGACGGCATCAGCGGTGGTGGAAACAGCGGCACCAACCAGACGACTGCCCAAGCAAAAGCCAAGCGCGACCTCGACTTTCACCAGTGGGATCTCCGCAACAATATCCTCTACTCTGTCAACAACTTTGAGGGCAACACGCACAAGCGCCGTGTTCTCGCTCAAAACGGCGACATCGTCGAGCAGACCATGGACAACTCTGGTGCTATTTCCGGTAGCACTGTCGTCGGCAACTACCTCACCAGCATGAAGTTCAACGGCTTCAACGAGTCCGTTACCTACAAGGGCCAGGAGGTATGGGAGGAGGAATACGTCTATGAGCCGTTTATGGGCTTGTTCTCTGTATCCGGTGTGTTCAAGAGCAAGACTACAGGTGAGGTCGTCGGCACGCAATTGCTGGCCGAGGCGAGGGGAGGCGGTAGCGCGATTATCGGGAATGAAAAGGCATAGTTTGTCGTAATGTAACTACTACGCTAGCTAATGTAATATCTTGCCCTTTTTTTTTTGATGAACCGTAAAATGGAAAGAACAAACATCAACTGTTGCCCTTTTTCTACTTCCATCTGTCCACTTTCACCGCTCCCTCTCTGCCTCTCTCTCTCTCTCTCTCTCTCTCTCTCTCTCTCTCTCTCTCTCTCTACCCTTCCATTCGCGTGTGTCCCTCAATTCCACCCGCCCAATGCCAATGCAACCAAAAAACTAACAGACACACCGGATAATAATGCAAGGAAAGCAACTAGTTCTAACCTCCAACTCCACTCCTCCACCTCGCTAGTATAAGCCACGCGAGTTCCACCACCCGTGCGCCCGCGAGTGTGCATCAAAAAAGGTGCGGCACAAGCGAGATTAAACGTATGCCGGCATGACGACCCAAAAGCAGGTCCCTGCGGTCTGGAACAGCAAAGCAGCCCACGGCAGATCGACGATGATGTCAACACCCGTTTTTATCCCTTTTCCTTCTTTTACCCGCCAGATCGGTATCTGTGGCGTGGTTGCTGTGTCCGTTTTTTATGCTTGTTTTTTTTGGGTGGGGAGGAGCCTTGCATGCATGTGGGTGGGTGGGTGGATGGATGGATGGATGGATGTGAATATCCTTGTATTTAGGTGGCGTTGATATTGGAGGATTGGGGATGTACATTAGAGGATGCTCACATGGATGGTGGAAGATGTGTGTGTATGTAAGGGGGACTGCATGTACTTAATTACTGCTTTGGTGTAGTGTGTTAGTAGAGTTGTAATCGAAATGTGTTCAACATCAAGGCTTGAATGTAGTTGTGGAGGTATGCGAATGCATAATATAGGACCAAATCAATTCAGTCATGACACCGCCTTCTGTTGATTCGGCAACAGTAGTTTCACAAATATCAGTAGATGCGCTCTAAAAAGCAAAGTTGATTGATGTCTACTGATAACTATTGTAATACAACATACGAGTTTATCCGCATACCCCCCTTTCCTACTCTCCTCCTCCTCCTACCAAACATACTACCCGCTCTACAACGTTCACGCCCACATCCCTTCCTCTTCCTCCTCTTCAGTACCGCTCTTTACCACAAACTCGCATTATCTCTCCCCGACTCCTACATGTCCACCATATTCATACAAACGACCCTTGATCTCACAAGCAGATACAATCCATCAAAGTCTGATCTAACTTTTCTTAACCCAAGGACTCGTCAACGAAACTGATCATATAATTCTTCCCTCCCCTTGACATTGTTGCAAGAACAGGAGAAATACTTTTTTACTACCCACTCATCAGCACCGCTAGGAGTATAGTGACTCAGGTGCTAACGATTGTGGCAGCACTGGCATATCATCGACTCCTGATGGCCACTACGGGATCTTCGGAGATTGCATAAGGTCGGGCAAGTACATGTAAGGTGATGAACTACAGTGTTGTACGTTGTACTCACAAATCCTACTTTTACTCAAAGAGATGAAGGGTGTAGTAAGCAGGTCACCCAGTCACCCAAACCCGCAGATATCAATCACCAACTACAACTCCATCTCGAGACTCGGTACAACTTGAATGAGTCTAAACTTCAATTGTAAAGTGGCTACGTTAATACTACATAGCTTGTTAAATCTAGATCCATAACTACCACTCAGAACGCCTACTGAACTCCATGCAATGCGATACATCCAAACCTTCCAACGTTCAGCCGTAGAGAAGAGATTTCCCATCTATATGCCCATCCCACCACAAACACCAGACAAAAAAACTAAAAAAAAACACTCCACATAAACATTCACAACACGCCATCACATCATTCCTCTAACCTACCCATCAACCCCCTCCTAACCTTGGTATTCACCACCCCACCCACCCCAAACGCCGGCACAATCCTACAAATCCTCGCCGCAGCACTCTTCCCCCAATCTCTCAGCACCCTTGCAGCCCTCCCATCGCGACCTCCGACATGCACACCAGGCCGATTATATAAATCGAGGCCCAGCAAATGCAACGGCGTGCTAACAAGTTGCACTGCAGCGGGGGTAACAAACTGCGCTATGCTAAGCGCACTAACGTACCTATTTACCTGGTCGCTCATGCGCTGCTCCAGCGCGGGCGCGAGGAGCGGCGGGAGATTGAAACTAGCAAAGATGGTGAGGCAGTCGCGGACGGTGAATAAGGCGAAGGTGGGGAGGGGGACGGGGCGGGGTGAGGAGCCTGGGGCTGCAAAGAGGCGGGTGAATTGGTTATCTTTATACAGACAGAGTGCGAGATTCGCGGAGCTGGTAGCGACGAATTTGCTGGTGCCGCTTGTTTGCTGCTGCAAGGGCTGACTGGGTTTAAGCGTTGCGGATGCGGTGTCGATGGTGTTGGCGGTGAGGTAGGTGCCAAAGTAGAGGCTGAAGATTAGGGCGAAAGGTTTGCTGGAAAGGAAGCGGTGCGGTTTTGAGACGAGTTGCGTAAGGCTTTGCTTGAGACTGTCGCCTAGTGTGTTTCTGCCGCTGGCGTTCTCGATGATGCCCTTGTCTATCATGGTGATGATTGGAGCGACCAAGATGCCTGCTGCACCAGCTGAGAGGGTGTCTGCACCCACGCGCATGCCCAGTTTCGCCGTGTTCCATTCCCGTGGTGTGTCTGTGGGCGTCTTCGTCGTCGGCGTGCGCATACTCGGCACTGGGAGTTTTGGTCTGGGAATCGCAATCGAAGGGCTTGCGACTTTTGGTACGGTGGCTTGGGATATAGTCTCCGTGGCGACAGGTGTCTTCACACCGCTGGCTTGTTCCTCCCCCATTGCAGCTTCCCCCGGTTATTGGCAAACTCTCTCTTTCTGTGCTGCATGTGAAGGTCCTGGTAGACGATCCGGTTGTGGGTCTTCGCTCGTGAGGCCTTGTAATAGGCGGCCGTATGGCGCAGGAGGAGCAGGCAGAATCTCACGGGCTGTGAGAGCTGCAGTATGCAAAGAGGTGTGAATAGGTTGCGGGATTTGAAAGAGCAGCCACTGACGAACATGTCTGGGTCTAGCGGTGCCCAACACTGAATCCGCCCCGGACTTCAGACACCGACGTCGGAGCAGAGCCTCCCGAGTCGGCCTCTCTGCACAATCATTGGCCAGCCATGTTGCAACCGGCAGCAATTGGATTCTCTGTCAAACCGCAAGCTCGGAACTCATGGCTAGTATCGGCTGAGGTATGTGTATGGCATCCCACGCCCATCTTTGGATTACTGCACTCGACCACGTGCACCACTCCCCACTTCTCAGATAATATATCATCATCATCACACATATAGTACTAGAGCAGAGTGAAATTTTTCCAATACACCTAATGGATAGACAATCCATTTTTATCATTCCTCGCCTCCCCATCATTGCTCATCCACCACATGTTGGTCAATCCAAAGCCCACCCTCATATAATCTAGCCTCAATACCTCCTCTCTGTGTCGATGAAATAGTTGCAGACCAAACCAAAAAGACTGGCCGAAAAGAAAGGAACCCGCTTGCCGTCATGCACTTAATGCCCCACAGACTCCGCAAACACCTGTTCGCACCCGAGCTATGGACCCTTATGCAACTCCGAAAGCAACAAGAACAAAGGAAAAAAACAAAGGAAAAGACAAGGATCAAGGTAGCCGGACCAAGGTAGCCACTGCACAATGGCACGGGCTACCATACACGAAAGGAAATAAAAACTAGGGGAATTAGAAGAAGAAGAAACGCTAAGTCTTACCATTTATTCTGCCATTACCGCCTCGTTGTAACACTAAGTGTTAGCTTGGGATTACGCTCCACTGCAATCTGCAGGTCCTCGTCATTCTCAATCGGGTAAAAGTAATTTTCTTGCTCGTCCTTGTACTCGACAATCAGCTCCTCCTCTTCCTCACCAGGCCGCTCCAGCTTCCTCCTCTCAACAAGCTTATTGTAGAGGTCCACAAACTTGAGTGATATGGGCATGCGAATGACGACACAGTTGTCTTCCTCGAACCATACTTTGATCTTGAGCGCTGACGTACCAGTGCCGGTGGCGGTCGAGACAGATGAGTGTGAGTGGTTCATAGGCGGTGGGTTAAGGTTTGTCGAGTATGCTTGCGAAGCTGTTGATAGACCGCGTTGGTGTGAGGCATAGGTTGAGCCAGTCGAGAAAGGAGTCATCGGGGTTGTGGCTTGAAGTTGGTCGGCAGATGATTGTCTGCTGGCTCCTCCATGTGAGGGTGTTGATGAGTGATGTGACTGCTGAGACAAACGGTATTCTTCAGCAGCGATAACATCGGGGTCGATTTCGTAGTCGCCTTGTCGTGGGGCAAAGAAACCCTTGACAAGGTGTCCTTGGGTAATGTGCGAGCCCAGCTTGAGCAGGTTCTTGATGTACTCGTCGAGGTTGGCACGGCGCCCGTTGGAAATGTTATCGGTGACGTAAGTTACCGGGCCTGGCATAAATGGCAGTGTTCGTTCTCCCGAGCCACTTGTACCAGCCTCGACGGGGTAGGAGGCAATAAGTTGTATCTGAAGGTCATAGAAATCCTGGTATAAACGTTGTAGCTCCCAGTGACGGCCGTCCTCCATCTGGCACTCAATGATGAACCAGAAAATATCGTCAGCAAAGCAGTAACGTGGCACACATGCCTTGATAGGTGCGAGTAGGTTGTCGGACGTGCGGTGCGGATTTCGAGTCTGCGCCATGGAGCCGTTGCGCGAGTGGGAGATCTGCACAGGGTCAGTATCGTGTACGGGAGGTGAGTACACACCACCTACCGAACCGGTCTTTTGGTGGCCACCATTTTGGCTGCGCACGCTCAAACGCTCCATGCCCTGTTGCAGCGACTGGCCCGAGTTTGTTTCCAGCTTGCCGAGAGGAATGCTGCCGTTCTTGTAGTCTGCAGCCATTTTCTTCCACTCCTCGACCTTGGGCACGCCAGCAGCAGTCACGGCAGCTTGCGTGTCGGTGACTACCTGTCCAGTAGTCATGTCGCGGATCTCGATAAAAGAGACGGGTATCAGGCCGGGGCCGCCGAGTCGGGTAATGGGCTTTGCGACAAACCACTCAGGGTTGGACTGGGCGATGACGATGATGGCCTCGCCCTCCTTCGCCTCGAGCTCGTCGGGCCGCTCTGCGTGGAAGTCGTAGATAACGACGCCATAGACCATGGCGCCTGTCTTTCCCGAGCGCGACATGCGCATCTGTTGCGTCATAATGTCCTGGGTAGAGGGTTGCGGGCTTGTGATGCGCTCTTGGTAGCCGGAATCGTGTGGTTGTTGTGTTGTGGCGCGAGGCACTGGGGGGGCGCCAGCACTGTCGCGCACTGTCTTGCCTACGCCCTCAAAGTATGAGACGGGAACGAGGCCGCGTGTGCCGTGCAGCGGATTGCAGGCTTCGTACCAGTCGCTGTCGTCCTCACGCCCGACAACGTGCAGAAAGTCACCCTGGGAAAAGGCAAGGTAGACAGAGTTTGGGCTGGTATCTGTGGGCGTGTAGTCGTAGAGGGCTTTTATGACCTGAGATGAGATCGCCGTTAGCTTCGCGCTCATCTGCCCTATCGGGAAGCGGGTACCAGGACAAAGCGCCTGGAGCAATGGCGAACGTCGAGCGGCTTGAACGTCTTGGGCACAGGGCTGGCTGTTGATGGTCCTGCGCGCAACCACTGCAGCCCAAGAGGGCCGCGTTGGCCTCGGTCATGGCACCCGCACAGGCAACAGCGAGTGGAGTGTCGAGGCAATGCGCAGTCACGTCTGGCGGCGTGAGTGCAATGTGCTTGGTGGTACGTACCTTCTTGGGCGGCACAATGGCTATGGCATCCTTTGGTGGAATCGAAATGTGGTGCGGGCGGGTGTCCTTTTCGCTCTTTACACTCCTGCGGAACTAGGGAATGCCGTTAGCATGTATGCGCGCCTTGACTCGGCCAATGCCCCCAGCGCCGGTGCAGGCGCCGGTGCAGGTGGTGCAGGCGCGGGGACATGTGGTGGCGGCAAAAGCAAAAAAGACAGAGCAACTCACCTTCATCTTGGGGTGTGGACGAGGAGGAGAGGATGCGCAGACGACGCGGAAGCGTTGTGCCGTGAGGAGCAGTCAGGAGGAGGTGTCAGGAACTTTGGGGCTCCGACTGGCTGCGAGTGTATGACTGTCGACCGGGGATGCGGCGTGTGCGGGGGCGAGTGGGCGGCGGGTGAAGGACAGTCCGAGTCGTGCAGTCCAAGTGTGTGACGACGAGACGAGCAAAAGACAAAGGATAAAGGGAAAACCTCTGGGGCAGGTGCACGGTGATTGTCGTCAGGTACAGACAAGAAGATGCCAAAAGTTTAGGGAATGAGTGGGTGCTTTCACGGCGAAGGGATCCCAGCCCTGCACCACCTGAGGAGACTTGGCAGGCGGCTCTCTGGGTCTCGAGGGCTGCCCTCTTTTTTCCTGCTCGTCCATGTGTAAATTGGATTGGATTGGATTGGATGGGTGGACGGGGCCCTGTCTGTACGCACGTACGTACACATACGTAGTAGGTGTGTAGTATATTTGCACTGCTGGTGGCCACTGACGACACGGAGCCAGGGCAGCAGTAAGCCAGCACGCCATGTGACTTGGCATGGCTGTGTAGCATGGCTGGCTATGGCTGGCTACGGCCCCAAAGGATTCCAGGGCCTACGCCATGCTGTCTACCAAACGTCCGACTGCCGGGCTGCAGGTCCACAAAACGCCCAATCATAGCCCCGGCGCGCTGGCCATGGTAAGCCTCCCTTGCTTCTTGCAGCGTTGCATGAACATGTCATTGTGCCCATGCGAACCCACACCCACATTCGGTGCTTTTGATCAACGTCCCTGTCTCCACAAAGCCCTATAGCATCACCACACCCTCGTGCTCGCATACCAAACACGCCCCTCGTCAACCAATGCATTGCTGCCTGCTGTCTACCAAACACTCCCTCGGTCTGCCCTTTTGCAACAAGAGTCTGCAGCTAGCGCCAACCATTCGACACCTGTGCCTGGCCGAATCAAAGGCCAAAACATCCCTCGAGCCCCCTCATTGGCCAAGCCCCAGCGCCTGCAACTTGTCGTCCCACAGAAAAGCTCTCCTAGCCACAGCAAACTCAAATGCTCACAACCCTGCCAATTCCACACACGCTGCCTGTGCCTGCAATCCCCATGCAGTGGCTGTCGATCACCGGTACAGTCCGAAGCTGCCCTCGATCATCCCGTCGGCCTCCACCCACTGCAACCTGCCGCACCCACCCGCGTGCCGCTGAGACAAACGCTTCGAGCAGTCCTGCAGTCAGCAACACCCTCGACCCCTCGACCCCTCGTCCCCTCTTCTCCTCTCTTCCCGCAATCTTATTCCCGATTCCACGTTTTCCATTGGCGCTAATGACGTATCCCGTTTCCCAACTAAGAAAACATGGCTAGTCAGGAGCCGGTCTGAAACTTTGGCCGTAACAGAAAGAAAGCATCTAGAAACTTCCTTGCATCTAGCGCATGGAACGGCTCTTCCGCCTCCCGACTACACATAGATAGCCACCACCCACCCAAATAACACCCAAACTCGCCCCTTGAGGCGGCGCCTTTGCTACCGCCACTGCAATCCCCACGACACATGTGGCGCCAGGCATGAGCAAACAACCATAAGTATACAAATTAGTAGTGGTAGTAGTAGTAGTAGTAGTAGTAGTAGTAGTAGTAGTAGTAGTAGTAGTAGTAGTAGTAGTAGTAGTAGTAGTAGTAGTAGTACTAATGAATATAGAGCAATCGGGGCAAATTCGTAATCTAAAGGGTGTGCAGCCAACAATGGCAAGCACCGCTTGCGTTCGAGTCGACTCATATTTGTCCTTTGATGTCTACTTTGCTGAATGCGGCGGCACGGAGACTCTCGATTTGCGCTGCAACCTCGCGGATCCTGACCCGGTACTGGCGATCGCCCTTGTCTTCAATAGTGTTCTGCGCACCGTGCGTTTCGAGAAATTCACGGCAAGATGCATCATTGTCGAAACCAAGCTCATCAGTCAGGAAACGAAGAGAAACATTTACGTATCTACACACCCTGTCAGTAAACCATTATGCAAAACCTGAAGCACAATCATTAGACTTACCCGCGAGAAATGTTAGCTAGAGCATTGAGGCGCTCACGCTCGACAAACATGTCCATGAGGTAAGCGCCCATGTTCTGGGCTTCGAGGTAAAGTCGGAAGAACTTGTGGTAGTTGCCAAGGGCAAGTGATGATCGGACATCAAGTGCATGCTTGATCCATGGATGTGCTTTGTCTGCGAGGGTTAATTCTGCCAACATGTCGTTCATGTCGGTCTTATTGCACGTATACACAAAATAGAGAATGCGGTACGCCTTGAACTCAGCTGGGTTGCCCCCCAGGTTCTGCGCATACAGTGCCTTGAGCTGCGTCTGGCACTGGTTATACTCACCCAAGTCCCCCTTTTCTAATGAGATCCGCGCGTGGATCTCGTATACCTTGACTGTAAAGGCATTCTTGATATGTTGAACAGTCAGATCTTGGCGCAGTGATTTGAACTGGTTACAAATGTAGTTGTAATTCTTTTCTGCTTTCCATTTCTCCACAAGCATGGCCAATGTCTTCTTGAGCACATGCAGGGGGCGTACGGTTTCAGCTTTCGGTGGTGCAGTCAGACGGAAATAGCTCTTCTCAAGGTTCTCGTTGGTTCCGACTACAGGTCCGGTGGGCATTTCATCTTCATCTTTGCGTGACGAGCCCCAGGGTGACGTCGCTTTCGAACCATTGTTGCCGAGCTGAAAGCGTTGTCGTCGCTTATCAAGCTCAGCCTGGTCTAACTTACTTGCGGCGTCCGTAAATGCGTTCTTCTTTTGGCGCTTTTCGCTGTGTCCGTCGGCATAGGTCATTCGAGATGCTAGGTTAGTTTTGCGCCATGGTGGGACGCTGGCTTGCGCTTGTTCGGCTGGTACTTCTTCAGCGTCGTGAGCATTGCGCTTTTTGGAAAGGGGTGTGTTCTGGTTAGTGTGGTCGATAGTGCCATTTACGTATGTAGGTTGCATGCCGTTTGCGAAGCCATTGGCAGATGTGCTGAGCGCCGCTGCCCTCCGTTCTTCGAGGAGAAGCTCCTGAGGCAGGGGAAAGGTAGGCCAATGTACATTGTCATGTGAGTTGCGCTCAGCGAAGTAGCCGATGGTCTCCTTGAGCCTCGCCTGCATCTCTGCTTGCGAGATACCCGGGATCGCGTTGGCGGGGTCGAAAGCACGTCGGACGTACTCGCGTACGGCAGGCGGCCACTCGACTTTCTTCTTGGGCTGCTCAGGAGCCATGGCAGACTGGAGGCGTGTGTGAGCGGAGGCACAAGTCGCCAGAGGAGTATGAGCACTAACAGACGCGGGTAGAGCGGCAGGCTGGAGTGTAGTTCGAGGGGTGACGGTGTTGTAGGCGGGTGACTGCATCGGTCGCGCCCACGCAACAGTGGCAGAGGGCAGGGACATGGAACAGGGGAGTAAGGGAAACAGGGGCGACGAAAAGAAGGCTACAGAGTGAGTATGTGCACAGTGGAGTTGGACAAGATGGATCAATGTGGTGCACGACGGTGGAGATGTGGTATGTGAGTGTGGAAATAGGGTGGGCGTGGGTGGATGAAGGTGAGGCGAGGCGACGACCCGACGACAATGATTTGCACGGTGCTGTTACTTGGCGGCTGCTGAGATGGTGTTAACTGTTATAGGTTTAGCGTCGGTGATATGACGACGTGCCGGACTGGGAGAATGGGCATTAGGTCAAACGACGCCCGATGGGAGTGCCATGGCCGTATCTTGCATACGCTCACTTACAAATGGTCTGAATGTTCCTGCACCAGCTCGACCTCACCACCGCACTGCGCCCGTCGCTCCTGCCGGAGGAGACGCTGCTTTTTGTCCAAGATGCTGTAGGGCTCTACGAGGGGTACGCGCATCCACACATGGTGCTCATCTGCTGCTGCTGAACATGTGAACAGGAAGTTCAAGATACCCGAGTATCAAAACGGGCAGTCGTATCTGACCTCACACCGCGTCTGCTATGTCGACCACGATGAGCCGCGCAAGAACTCCGTCGCCATCTTCCTGAAAGATGTCGAGAAACCAGAGTTCTATGTACGCTGGATATGGCTTGATCCACGGACACCACCATGACTAACAACAACACAGGCTGGTTTTCTCAAGTCGTCGCCCAAGGTAACTCTCTACCCGAAGCCCTTGAAGCAGCTGTCGCGAGGTGCTCCTTTGGCTCCCACGCCAACCGCCTCGTCCTCTTCTACTCCGCCGCGGCACAGCAGCCCCGCGCCTCCACCTCCTGCGAGCGCAACATGGGTGTGCCCGATATGCTCCTTTTCCAACCCCGTGCCTTCCAACTTCGACCCCGCTCTCGCATCTCGCACACCCATACCGCCATGTCTCGCTTGCGGAATAAAGCCGCCGACTGTACATGTTGTCAAAGCAGCCATAGCGGCCATGTCGAATCGACCAGCCCCTGGCCCGCCTCCGAAAGATGTGAAGAATGGAACCCCTCCTCCTCCTCCTTCGGCTTCTACAACATCGCCATCGGCATGCCCTCGTTGCACCTACCAGAACCATCCTTCTCTCCTCAATTGCGAGATTTGCGGTGCATCCCTGACAACGGCCGTAGACAAGCGCTTGGATATGCTTCAGGAGCCCACCAGGTCCCAATCTCCAGGCCCAACACTCTCGTCGCCATTGCAGTCCGACACCATCGAATGCATCAAGCTATCTTTCCGTGCTGGTGGGGGGCCTATATTTTACGAACGCCTAAAGAATGCACTGGTGCAGCGCAAATGGCTCCTTCAAAGTGCCCCGCCAATTCCTAAGCCACGGCTGGCCTCTGTTATAGCTGACAATGGCTACACTATACAATCTGACGCTTCGTCTATAGAATCTGAACGACCCCGAGTTGTTGGTATTGCGGGTTTAGAGCGACGCGGACTAGAGCAGAGACAGAACAACGAGGCCATGATAGGCAGCGCCTTTGAGGACCTTGAGGCGCTAATGACATCAGCAAAAGAGATTATCGCTCTTGCAGAACAATTTGCATCACAGGCCAACTTGGGCACTAATAGCAGCTCTGAGGCAAACGCATTAGCATCACAGTCAGCGTCTGCACTAGGTCTCGTTACGACAAAGGACATGCTTGGTTCTGGGTCAGGTTCTGAGTCGCTGTATGTGTCGGAGCTTTCGAGAAATCTGGCTGAGTGGCTCACGGATGACACGCATGGTATCCTGCGAAAAGAAGGTGGCATCATGACGCTTGTAGATCTTTGGGCTGTCTTCAATCGTGCAAGGGGCGGTGTCGAACTTGTTAGTCCGTCAGATTTTGAGAAGGCAGCGCGCATGTGGGATACGTTAAAATTGCCAGTACGTCTAAGGCAATTCAAGAGCGGTCTTCTAGTCGTACAAGGACGTGATCGCACTGACGAGAAAACCATTGCCAGTCTCCTGGCATGGTTCAAGACTCTTCACCAAGAGCCTCCTAGCATGGAAGTCACATGGGATTGGCAGACATTTGGCAGGGGCGCAACAGCGCAAGAGGCAGCTGAAAGATTTGGTTGGAGTGTTGGTGTCGCGACAGAAGAGCTAGAAATGGCTGAGGAAGCGGGTGCACTCTGTCGAGAGCAGGGAATTGACGGATTCAGGTTTTGGGAGAACTGGCTGGTTAAGATGCCAGGGAATGTTACAGTGACTTGAAGCGAATAGCAACAGCGTCCAATGCTTACGAATATTATCTGAAGAAACTCTCTGGCCAAGACTTGATTGCTGGAGTGATGTTTGACTGCCGTTCATTCAATAGTTTTGCGTTTGGTGGCCTCGTTAGACATTATCTTCCCGAGTTAGCGCCTTTGCTCGTATGAACAACTCATCATGTCCAAAATGATGTATGGTAAGCTGTTTTTTTAGCTCTGAACGACTACATCGTTAGTAGGAAGATCGACTCCCATCGCGTTCTCGTATGTTCGAACAGTGCGGTGGTTTTGGTGCTTTCAAACTGTCAAGACTTTGTGGTGTCCAACCAATGAGAGCTGCACAACTCAAACATGATGCTTGACCAATAGGTACGACCCAATTAGGCAACAGCCTTGTAGGGGACCTCACCTCCACCGCTTCTTGTCGTCAGTGTCCAACGCTAGAACTCAACCGACGCACCCATGCGCCAACGTCCAACCTCACTCCTTTGCTCCACCTTCGCGCACTTCTCTACAACAACCGTTGGTCTTCGTCATCGAAATGTGAGTCTAATCAGAGCATCTCATGAGCTGTGTTATATTGTAATTGCTAATTTGTGAGTTCAAGGCCCCGCAAAGGGTTCAAGAAATCAACTGCAACAGCAAGTAAGAAACGCCCTGCACAAGAGGTCATAGAAAAGTATCCAGACAAGTGCCCAAAAATCAACACTCCAATCACAGATTGTACAGGGCAAACCACAGTAGAGGCTGGAATATTAGAGCAAGCGCAGGCTATGGATTCAGGCCAGATCTTTAGATTCTTGGATTTGCCAGGGGGTGAGTAGCATGTGATTTATTCAGTCTCGAAAATGCTGACAGCACTCAGAAATTCGGAATCGCATATACGAGGTTCTTGCAGAAATAAGTACGCGGACATTCCCAAACACATATCCAAAGTCCATGTCGTCTCGGCGCAGGGGCCTACGACCCGACCATGAAGTCCGGCGACCTCCTCACAAACCTCTCCCATTCATCGGCCTGACACAAACCTGTACACTTATCAGAATGGAGTTCCGCCCACTCTGGCTATCGACACATCACTTCCCTTTGTTTGCCCTATGTGGATACTTCAAAGCGTTTTTTCCTCCTCCGCTCCGGGCGAACCAAGCAAGCGAGGAAATCAGACAACGCGTTGCACGCTATCACCATCCCGGGGGTACTTTGAGGATTTGGCTGAACATAGACTCACTGGCCGATATAGACATACTTCCAGTGGTCAAGTTTCACCTGCGCTTTCCTATGTACACGTTTGATCTTGTTTCGGGACATCCCAAAGTCACTGCAGAAGTCCGGAGCTCTATATCAACGCTCATCTACAACCCCAACGCAACTTGGATTCAATATATCAAGCAGCACATAATTACGCAAGTGCGACTACAAATCATGGACCGCATGCCGGGTATGGAAATTGTACGAATTGTTCTCAAAGAGAGCCATGTGCCTGGTTGGATGAAGGCGACTTGGGGGCATAATGATAACCATGCCACAGAATATACAACAAGTTTGGGACTAGAGGGATTGAATCGAGCCATAAGATTTGGTGCCGATTACTCCTGAGTCTAGGCTTGGATTCGAGATGGTTCCTATCTGCTGATTGTCTAGGGCTCACAAAAATGATCATATGTAGGTACGGCCATGGTGACATGCGTTATACTAAACACATTACACTAAGGTTTCACTGTATTTCATACCTTATTTGGTTGTACAATTTCACACACAAAAGGAAGGTGCAGTTGGTCATGTCTCCACCAGGGACAGGGGTCATAATTACGAGGAGAAAGGAAAAAAAAAACATGAAAATTTACGGTATTGACAGCACAATGTTACAGGATTGAGCTTGGCATTACATCTTGTGCATTATTCGCGGAAAACCAATATTCTGTCAAATTTGGCCGAGCGCTTTTTTTAGTAGTTCTTGTTTTATGAGACCGATCTCATCGGCGGAGTATCGATTTTCCGATCGATCCATCTACAACATGAAGAAAGGGTTCACGTGCGCGTGTATACGAACAGCAAACTGAAACACACAAAAACAACCGGTATTAATTCTGCTATTTTGTTTTTCTCGAGGAATTCTTTGGTGGTACGCGCAACGAGAAGTACGTCACTTGTACCGTACTATGGCATTCAAAGAAGGTACTACATGCGTATGTACGTGTTCAAGCACAGGCATTCTACAAAGCACCATGTGACATTGCAAAAAAATGGGGAAGCGCTGGTAGCGGGCAGAAAGGAAGAAATGTCAAGACTGCATCTTGAGGACCACTTTGGCGCCGTTGTCTTTTGAAGGAGTCAGTACCTGGTTTCACATGTATCGAAATGCACACGACTCACCACCCATGAGGTCCGCATAAACATTTCCACTTTCGGCCATTAAGCCAGCGCCTGCTTATTATTAGCCGGGACTGGGAGCAAAAGGCGATGTTTTGCACCGCCACAGCCAAAAGACGCGTACCTGCAAACTGGAGCTGGTACGAGTCACCGTCTTTGTTGGCAACGACATCGTGTATCAGCGTGTCCGTATCGGCTTTGAACCACCATACTTTCTTTGGGGCGAAGCTGCGGTCTTCGGCCAAAGCTCGGGCAAGGACATGGCCGTCGCACTGAAGACGCTTGTTCTTGAGCTCGAAGACGGCAGGCTCCGCGCCAGTGGATGCATGGGTCTGGTCTTGGGTGTCCGAGGCGGGCTTGGAGATGGGACTGCCGTCGATTTCGATGGCGAAGGGGGCGGGGAGCGAGTCCATTGCTTTTGCAGCGTAAAGATGCAGTGAGATCAGAATCAGGCAGAGTAGTCCGACAACCCAAATTAACGTGCGGCGTTGCTTTGCTTCGGGGGGCATTCGTGGGTGTTGCGATGAGGAGCTGAAGTGGGGTGGTGTTTGCTAGTAGTGGATGGTGGGTTGGCGGGTTGGCGGGGGGCGACTTCATGCAACAACCTCGTATGCTGCTGCTGCTGCTGCTGCTACTCTATAGGAGATCGAGACGATGGAACAGCGCAGGTACGGACAAATACTGGATGCGGCTGAAGACAGTGCTGACACCTGCATCGACGGTTATGTTCCCCAGACAAGCCAATGCAAGTAATGAGACATGATTCCAATGCCAAAAAGCAACAGGCAGCCAGCTGATGTGCAGTGACGTTATCGAGCGGCGTAAGTAAAACGTCGTACCGCCTGCCGGCTGCCGGGCCCCGGCGCTGTCAGGGCAATATGTTTTGCCGGAGGGATTGTTCTACGAATGTACGTATATACGCGGGCGTGGGAGTAGATACTCGATCATCATACTACTTGGGGTATTCGAGCAATGGGGCATGGGGGTAGTAGGCGCCGTTGCGATGATCAGTGCTGCGTTGGGGCTGTATCCCCGGCTCACGCGCTCACTGCCAAGCCGCGAGGCTCCGCCCTCTACTCTCTTCCCACCGTCCTCCTGCCTCTCCTGGCTCCCATCCGGCCACCTCAACCTCGCCATCTCTCCCAATCAGCCCTGCAATCTTGTGCGCCTCCGAACAACGGCCATCTGTATCCGGCAACTGCCAAGCCCCAGGCTGCTCGCTAGCGGGCCCTGCAAGCGAATCCCTTGTGGCAGGTCCTTTCTGCCTTGCTTTTGACTTGGGGCATACAAAGCCCGTAGGCCACTGGTGTCCCCTGCCCATCATATCGGCCAATATACAGCTTGCATCGTGGTTCGTCCATGGGCAAATGTCACAGAACCCCCTGGTAATGCTTTTTCTTCGGTATCCGCGCCTGATGTGGCAAATCCTCGGGTTGCAGCAGGCGCAAACTAGACGTCCCCAGCACGATTCAGCCTGTTGCACAGCAAGATAACGTTGCATCAGCGACTAAATGCGCCCACCAGCCCCCGTTGGAGATCGCCTAGACGGTGCCTTACTGTGTCGGGATGTTAACATGGGAATACGAACTGTGTACTCCCTTGGCAGGCAATGCGAAATCCCCATCTCCTGCTCTCTCGGGCACAGCGTAGCATTGGAGCGCTACCGCTATCCGGCAGCTGAATTACAGGCAGCTGAACTACAACCAGCTGACACGCTGTTGCAATTGCTGGTGCCAGACTTGCCCTGACACCATGTAGACTACTGTACGTAGCTGTGCTCTCCCAGCCGTGGCAGAAAAGCAACAACGACGCCCGGAGACGCACGGCGTGCAGGCTGCAACTGTGACGCACAACACGCCAGTGACCCTAGCATTCGGGAGCAACCGCTGGATCAGCTGCCTCTTTTGGCCTCGACGCATAGAATCCATTGGGAAAAGCTTAAACCGCGCGTAGATAAGACAGCTGCTAGGCTCGGGGTAATTGGTCCCCACTACTTGATCTAAGGCACACGACGGACTACAGGTTAAGACTTTGCCAAGCCATAATAGGTCCCAAACTGGAAGGACAAATCATACTCCTAGCAGATCAGTCTTGGTTTACCCTAAAGCACGCCAGGACAAGGTCGGCCTTCTAGCATCTACACAACCATTGGAGTGTCAATGACTGACGACGACGTTCACTATAAGTATCCAGCAATCTGCCCTCTGTAATCATCATCAGCCAGCTCATCCAGTCGCTTGTCTCTTCAAATCATTCCATCGCTTCTCTCCAACAGTCGCTGCCTTTGCAAAGCCCATCATTCACCATGCGTTTCCAGTCTATGATCGCTGCTGCGCTTCCTGCGCTCGTCCTTGCCGCTCCTACTCCCCAGTGGGAGGAAGCTCCTGAGGAGTCCATTGTTGGTGGAACCACCGCTGCTGCCGGCGAGTACCCCTTCATCGTCTCTATCCAGCTCAATGGTCGCCACAACTGCGGTGGTACCCTCATCAACGGCAACACCGTTGTCACTGCTGCCCACTGCTCCGTCAGCAGCGCCATTGGCGGCTCCATCAACAACGTCGCCGTTCGTGTTGGCTCTTTGGTAAGTTCACTCATCTGATACAGTACTCTATGCACTTGAGAAAGGAGAGAGACTAACACAAGTTCTAAACAGAGCTCCAACTCTGGTGGCCAAGTCATCCGCGTCTCCAGGATCGTCATCCACCCCAGCTACGCCGCTGGCACCTCCGACAACGACATTGCCATCTGGAAGCTCTCCAGCTCCGTCACCGCCGGTGGCAACATTGGCTTTGCTTCCCTCGCCGCTTCTGGCTCTGACCCCGCCAGTGGATCCACCGTCTCCGTTGCTGGATGGGGAGCTACCAGTCAGAATGGCAGCGGCTCGGTCGCTCTCCTCAAGGTCAGCGTCCCCATTGTTGCCCGCAGCACCTGCGTGGCCAACTACAACGCCGTCAGACTCACCGTCACCAACAACATGGTTTGCGCCGGTCTCGCTGCTGGTGGCCGCGACTCTTGCCAGGGTGACTCTGGCGGCCCTCTCGTCGATGCCAACAAGACCCTCGTCGGTGTCGTCTCCTGGGGAAGCGGCTGCGCTCGCCCCAACCTCCCCGGTGTCTACTCCCGCGTCGGCACCCTCCGCAGCTTCATCGACCAGAACGCTTAAGCGCATACATCTTGCGGCATTGGGCAGGGGAATACATGAAAGCGAGTTGGATATGATTTGGAAATGGTCGACTTTGGATATGAAAAGAGCAACGGCTTTTTATGAGTATGGTATGGGGGAGGCCCTGAAGGGGGGAGGGAAACGGAGATGATGGATTTTGCTTTTCTTACTTTACCTCTTCTCCCTCCTTAATTTCGGTGACGGCATCTTGTAAATAGGTCTAGCCTCCCACGATTATTTTTTGTCTGTATCTTATTTTTTTCCTTTATGTAGCTAGGAAATCGCATTGTGTGTTGGAAACATCCTTCTTTTGCTCTCTGCATATTTGACAAGTGATGTTTTTGGATGCCCCTCATACTTTTTTTTACCCCACTACTAAGCGCCTTTTTTTGGTAGTACTCCGATTTCGCTACTAAACTAACTTAGTACACCGTACTAAGACTAGCTTAGGCATTACACTGAGTTTTGCCCCTTCTCCCTTACAAACAACAAACAATCCAATGCAAAGAAAAAAAAACTATTGGACCCAGCCTCCTAGTTCTCTTCCTTCTCAAGCTTCTTCCAACTTGTCATAATCCTCCATTCATCTCGATCTCGCCACACACACACACACCAAGCCATCTCTTCCTTATCGCGGCCTTCATTTAAACTCGATAAATGCAAACCAGGGTCTTCCCCACTCCCCCCCACCCCACACCATACATACCAAGAGTCTGTGCTTTTCGCTAAGCGTTGAACGGGCCGTTTTTTGCTAATCATCTTACCTTTGCATTTTGCTCCTGCTCTGATCGCCCGCTTTTGCGACATGTGATCGGAATCGGATCGGCTGAGAGGTGGGGGTTCGGGGATTATTCGTTTCATGCATATACGATGAATGTTTTAATGAGGATTTTGTTAAGAGAGGGTCGTAGATAATGGAAGGATGAGAGAAAGGTTTTTATGTAGTTGGTGGTGTGCATGTTCGTGTGGAATGTTCATGATGTTGTTTAAAGGGAAGATGCGACCATCCCGAATAGCGAAGGATGAGTGATGAGTGAACTAGAAGTGCCGACGTGGCGACACTTAATGAGGTTATTGCGGCACCACGGATATACAGGTTCCATCTAAACAAAAACAAAACGCCTGAAAATGGTACAAACGCAGACTTATTGTCATGCCATCTTGCCACTTAATCAAAAAAAAAAATTCCGTAAATATGCATTTCCATTTCAAAACTTCAATAGCGCCCACCCTCTCTCTTTCCTAAGTTCAACCCACCAAATCCAGTACTCCTACCAAGTCTATCCGTCTGACCTAGTGATCGCTCACTACGTTCCCTCTCTGCATTACCTAAACTGATCCGCTTCAATGGACTAACGTCCTTCTTACTCGGGCTAGCTCTCCGCTCAAATGCACCGCCAAGACTATCCCTTCCTCGGTTCGCGCTCCGCTCACCATCCCTCCCGAAAGCCGCACTAGTGGATTTCCTTAGCGGAGATGCAGCATGTGTGTTGATCCCGAGATATCCCCCATCGTTGACTTTGGTGTCAATGCTATTTCGGGATATGGTGGGGGCCTGGCGGAAAGGGTTTGGTGGTTGCGAGGAACGGATTGGAGAAAAGATATCCGCATCAGTTCCTGTAGATGTGGTTGCATATTGTGGGTTGCTGTCTCGTCGGCGGAGTGAAGGCGTGTTAGAGGTGGAGCGAGCATTATCGGGATCGTACTGTGAGGCGTAGCTGGCGTTCGGGTTTGTGCGGAAAGTGCGATTGATGACAGTCTTGGGTGTGTAGGTAACAATTTCGCTAGCTAGGTCGTCACTGCTGCCCTTGACACCGACGCTTGAATCCTGATTCCGATTCTTTGAAATGGTCTGAACGCCCACGTCCCTACACGGCTTCTGCAATGATGGGTGCACAAACTTGCTGTCGTACTCGTGAAGCACTTGGCGACTGATCAGAGCATTATCCTTGATCTGTTGGGAAAAGGAGCTTTGCAGCCACCACAGCTGCAGCGATAGCACTGCTCCGATCAGAATAGTTGTTGTGACCCTCACACTCGGGCTCGGATCCAAGGGGCCAACAGGAAGGTTGAGGTAATAGAGCACCACATGAAGAGGGCTGAAGAGGCAAAACAGTTTGAGGCACAGCGGGTTGGGGTCCCAAACCGCGACCTCCCAAACGTCCCGGCCCTCTATAGGATGCGCCCTGTCCGCAGCATTGTTTTGTACCAGGTTTCTCACGAACTGCATTGGACTCGCAGCAGCTGGAGATGAGTCGACACGAACGCGCTTCGCGCTGGGTGTCCGCGGCGCTACGTCCACTTTTTGTTCAAACAGGCGGTAGTACCGCCTCTTTCCCCAAACGAGCCATGCGTTTACGAAGCTTATTCCACCCAAGACCATGACTAACAAACTCAGTGTTGATTTTAGCCATCCGGGACCTTCGACCTCGTTGAAAACACCGTCATCATCCGAGGCGGCGGATGCGCCGCTGTTTGCCTGCGCGAGGACAAAGAGTAGATTCGCGCCGAAGCCGATATAGAGGGAATACAAAGACGCAAAGTCTTCCCAGTCAGAACTGTTGAGTTCTTCCGAGATCCAGATGAGCCAGTCGGAAGGGTCGGTGTATGCTTTGATGCGTTCGGCGAGCGGCGCGCGGCGCACGAGACGGGGCATGGTGGCGGAAGAAGTATTATTATAGCAGCGGCGCTGAGGTGTCGCCGGCCAGTAAAAGAAGTTGAAGAAGTAAAAGGAATGTGAGGCAGCGTCGAGTGTCACGACATGGCTTCGTGGTTTGAGGTGAAAGGAGGAGGGAGAAAGAAGTCGGAATAAGGGCCCAAAACATTTGGCCAAACACGGACTAGGGCCCCATGACGACGGCGTGCAGCTTCCCCAGCCAAGCTCCGACCTCACCACAGCTGCCCTTCAAACACATCCCGCCATGGCAGCACCGGCAGCGCAATACAAGGACAGACAGTTCCTCGCCGTTATCGGCGATGAGGTGCGTACATCACGCGCCCTTTGACGGGGTGTCTCGGGGAAGCCGACTGACTGTTTGCAGGACACTTGCACGGGCATGTTGCTCGCGGGCGTAGGCGTATGCTATAACTCTCTCCGGATGTCGCGATGAAGTAAAAGACTAATAAATAGTACAGCACGTTACCCAGCCGCCAGATAGCCAGAAGAACTTTTTGGTTGTGGACGGCAAGACCGAGACGTCGGCCATCGAAGCCGCCTTCGATCGCTTCACCAACGAGCGCAAGGACATTGCCATTCTGCTTATTAACCAGCATGTACGTTGAGTCGCTGGCCATTTGCGAGCATGTGGCTGCATTATGCGATTGCAAAGTTGGGTGCAGCAACAGGCTGACGAGCGCTAGATTGCCGAGAGGATACGACACCGTGTTGAGAGTTACACCGCCGCCTTCCCCTCGCTGCTTGAGATTCCGTCCAAGGACCACCCCTATGACCCTGAGAAGGACAGCGTACTGAAGCGCGTCAGGAGATTGTTCGGAGAGTAGATGCGCTTGAGGGAGCACTAGCCAGTCGAATGTACACAATGTATCATGCAAGCAGCGGTACTAGCACGAGACATTTTGGCCAGATGCTGATTTGCGCATGCATATCACGTAGAAATAGTTGAGGAATGATATCCATCAAGTTGAAACAGCTCAAAATGCCATACATGGATGCATATCAATCATATCTACATTAAGCGTGGCCCACGAACTCGACAACAAATCCAAACTATGCGCCAAACCCAATACAGTACTGAAATTGCGCGTTTACCAAATGAATAGCTCATATCATTCTCACAGCTCGTTCCTTCGTCGTAACCGCTCCCGCACCATGTCTGCTAAGGGCCCAGACATTTGCACTCGTGGCTCACCAAACTTGATGTTGCCACCATTGTTGGCAATCTTCTCCCCCGTCCCTCCTCTGCATCGTTGAATATCAGACACCGTTGTTGCTCGTCGTGTGTGATGGTGTCCAAGTAGATTTGGTGACATTTACCGGTGGAATGCAATCTTGGCGGTGAGGCAGGTGATCTTTTCCTCATTCTCCGTGAATACATCGGCAAGAACGGTGTATTGACCCTATGGTACTGTTAGCATCGTCTTGTAGTGTCCGAGAAGGATTCAGGAGGCGCACCGGAGGAATCTCCCTGGGCAGATCAACATCCTTGGTCAGGCTCATTTCGCCCTTCTTGAGCGGGCAATCAAGGTCTCCCTTCTTAATGGTGTCGCATCCATCGGCGTTCTGGTTGATGAGCGTGATAATGCCATACTTGACCTGGAGGTGCATCTTGAAACCCTCGCCAACCTCTTCCTTGAAGTTGCCCGTGGCTTTGATGCTGAGCGTTTGCCCACTATGCGCGCGTTAGTCCCGATTTACAAGGCTCCAGGCTACCGAAGCGTCGCGACGGGTGAGCCTGGGAGATGTCGAGATGGAGGCACGTACGGCTGGGGAGGGTTGGGGCTAAGGTCGACCTTCTCGATGGTAAGGATGTCGTTGGCTGGGTCGCCGCAAAAGTACAGCGGGTTTTCGCCAGGCACCTTGTACTCTTCCTTTACGACGACTTGGTCGCCTCCCATCCACGAAGGCGAGGCGGAGACGGAGACGGCGCTCAGCGCGGCAACGAAGAGCGTGGTGAGCTGCATGGCGGCGGTGGCTGACAGCGATTAGACGAAAGGCGCGTGTAAAGTGACTTCGAAATAACAGTCCTGTAGCTGGAGAAAGGGTTTGGAGATAGATGTGGAGGAGGAATGTGGAGCTCTGCTCGTTGGTTCAGGTTGGCGTCTAGAGATAGCGGCTGCGACTCCATGTGAGGCTGGGGCGAAGCTTGGACCCTGTTACCAACGTCATTCTTGTTGGTCACGTTTCATACATTAGCGTCTGCACTAGCCTTTTGTGGCCCTTACAAGCTAGCTCTTCTCCACAACACCATCCCAATCCAGTTGGGTATGTATGGGGACACTCGAGATTCATTCTGAATGTAAGTTCTGGATGCTGTACATAAGAGAGCTATTTGCAGTTTTGGAGTCGTTGACGCTGCCTTGGTAGTAGCCCTGTAGTCTAAACTCTTCGTACAGCTAGTCCAAGTATTTCTCCTATTTTTTACATACATTCCGTAATCACCATATCCAAATTTGACAGCGGTGAGTTGGCCAAGTCATTCAAGTCTCTGTGTGAAGACGTGGAAAAATTGGAAGGTTGATTTGCTTTTATCAGCAACTGTACACCGATTTCACCGCTAGTTTAGACAATAGGGACAAGGTCGCCATAATGCATTTGATTCAGTTTCTTATACTCTGGGAGGACGCTGTATAGCTAAGATCCTTTGGTCGAAGTCCTTAGAATCATCGGCTAAATCGGCGTTTGTTCGGTAGTTGAATTTCTGAGTGATCTTGAAGTGCTGTTTATGTCTTTTTCATCTAATATTTGTTAAGGCTATTCGTTACAAGTCCCCGATACACATGTTGATCACACCTAATATAAGTACATAGGCAAGAAGCATATATTTTGGAGTTGAAGTGAAGTAAGGACATTAGATCAGCGCTGTGTATAATCACGTGGCCATGCACGTGACTAGTCAAGTCAGCAGCAGGAAAGTTACGTAACTAGCCACGCAGTTTCTACAGTAGTCTCTCTTTGGTAGCCATGTTTTATAGCCAATATTATATTCGAAAATATCAGATCAACTAAAAAATCGAAAAGCATCCCGCGGAACACGTACACTTCGATCTTATCAAGGTCGTGTTATCTAGGCTATCAATGGAAAGCAATCCAGGCCTGCCGATCGATTGATTTTCTTGGTAGTTCTAGGACCCGAGGAAAGTGCGCTTCAGTTTCATATGCGATGACGGTGTAATGGCATAGAAAAGAATGAGGGAAGTCAAAGGAACAGATACTTGAACTTTATTTCAACTGCAACAGTCGGGGGTAGAGCACAACATCACTGCAGGACTACACTAACATAAGGAACGTATCCATTCAAGACGCCAAAAGAGTGCTATTAGTGTCTAGAAATGGTGTCAGCGGAACAATAATAAGGAGTATGCATCTCTATTATTACTCTTGTTCATTCTCTTGGTATTATCATAGATATTAGTTTGCGCGGTGGTATGAGGTTTTCATTCTTGCAGGGCGCCCAACACTGTGGATTGCCATGGCACGACTCGGATTTATCCGCCGAGGCACCTGACCCTTCGGCATACCTGCATGTGGTTGGGATACAATGTGGATATTTTTCAAGTCCCGAAGGGTGTGGAGCAAAGACGAACGGCAAGCAACGGTTAGGTATATCCGGGGTCCAACCAGCCATGTCACGGCTTTGCTGCAGAACGAACTCCACATATAATTTAGCGGTGTGTATCCCTACCATAATGCGTTAATCCAAAAGGTCAACAGATCAGCAACTTACGCACGGATGCATGTAAGCGACCTAAGCATTGCTTGGTGGTGCTTAAGTACCTAGTATAGTTCTTGACTTGCTATTTTTCTTGCTGCGCTCGGATTTGTATTCTCACACCGTGTCTCACAGGAGAAACCCAGAAAATGGTCTTTCAGCACGATGCGGAAAAGCATGGCGACGTATCGGACAAATATACAGCAAGCGCGAAGATTAAATTCTAATGCGATTACGAATCTAACTCAAAACCTAGGACACTCAAAACATCGATGCCGTCGAAGAAACAAACTCTCCCGCTGTCCGGGCTTTAATCTGGAAACAAGATCTGCGCATTGTCCCTTTGTGCGCTACGATTTACCTCCTTTGCTTTCTCGACCGCTCCAACATCGGCAATGCCAAAACCCTCAATGCCAACGAGGGGCATTCCCTCCTGCAAGAAACGCACATGACCAACTCCCAGTTTACAGTCGCCCTAATGGTCTTCCTCGTTGCCTACGCTGTGTTCGAAATACCGAGTAACTATTTCCTCAAGAAGTTTAAGCCGAGCCGGTGGATAGCCTTTCTCATGTTTGGATGGGGCGCTTGCACAATCGGACTCGGTGGTGCGAACAACTATGCCACTATCACCGCGGTCCGTTTTCTGCTTGGTATATATGAAGCCGGGCTATTCCCCGGCTTGGTCTATTATCTCACGTTTTGGTATCGTGCGCGCGAAAGAAGTATCCGTGTTGCTATCATTTTGGCGAGCGCGACGCTGGCGGGGGCGTTTGGCGGTGCGATTGCTTATGGCGTAGGACACATGAAGATGGTACACGGAATCTCTGCCTGGAGGTGGCTATTCATATTGGAGGGAATTCCTTCGTGCGTCTCATCGGTCGCGGTATGGCTACTTTTGCCAGACTATCCTGAGGAAGCATCGTGGCTGTCGACATCCGAACGGGAACTGGCTGTTGCACGTTTAGAAAACGAGGGCTCGAAAGGTAATGCCCCTTCGCTCACCTGGAAGACAACAAAAAAAACATTACTCGAAGGCCGTCTCTGGGTACACTATATCATTTACTTTGGCATTTCCGCACCATTCAGCTCGCTATCGCTTTTCACTCCGACCATTACTGCTGGCTTGGGATACGAGAACCTTCAGGCCCAGCTCATGACGGTCCCTCCGTACGCAGTCGCGTATGTGGTCTCTATCATCACTGCTTGGTCATCAGACTATTTCAATGCCCGCGCGTTGCATGCTGCCGTCTTATCTACTATCGGTGCGATTGGTTTTCTTGCGTCAGCACTGCTCCCTGCCGACGCCTTCCATGCACGATATGGGTGTTTGGTCGTTGCGGCTAGTGGTGCATTCTCATGTATCCCACCACTACTGGGCTGGTTGAGCGCCAACATGCAAAGCACTGCTGCGACAGGACTGGCGATTGCGCTCAATGTTTCTTGGGGTGCTCCCGGCCAGATTGTCGGCGTATGGATATACAAAGCAAATGAGAAGAAGTCGGGGTATCCGACAGGGCACTGGACCAATTTTGCGATGTTGATGATGGTTGCTGTTGGATGTGTCGGCTTGCGCTTTTACTACCAGTGGCGTAACAAGAAGATGCGGCAATTGGGAACGGATGGAGCAAATGCGACGAGAGAGTTTAGCTATTAATTAGACATGTTGTATGTTTAATAGAGCTTAGTAGAACATCGGGGGTAGTCAACAAACACATATGATTTTCTTTTCTGAGTTTAAGTTACAGATAAGCTACACTGCAATCGATGAAACGAATTGTAGACCCGCAAATGTAGGTGTGCCCTCGAAGCTTGCCATCTTGAAGTCATCTTCTAAACAGAGAGAACAGTGCTCCTGGACCTAGATCCACCCACATTGCCGGGTTTCTTAACTATGTAGCCACCATGCCCAATAATTTCAGTGAAGTTAGAAGAGCCACCTCCGTTCCACAGCAAGATATTTTTTGTTTCGTTGGGGAGGCCTGAAAGGGCACCAACAGTAGTTGGGTAGTAGAGGCAGTCTAACTTTGTTATTCCTTTGGAGTCTCCGTAGCCAAGCACAGGAGATGTGGATCCTGATGTAGATTAAGCCCACCTCTTTCGTAAGCCCGTAGGATTCCCGAGTGCCGTTCCTTTACGACATTGATCATGCGTTCAATCGCATCCGCTGCAAGCGTTTCCATGTCCCCTTGGTGCGATGTCGATCCCGTAGTTACCTGACACAGGCCTAGTCAGTGGGCCAAGTCCCTGGATGCGGACGATATCCAGCACCAGGCGGTCCTGGTCAGCGGTTCCATGCGACGCCAGTCGACTAAGCTCATAGTAGATGTGCCATATAGAGTGAAGGTAGCCTTCAAGAGAATCGACTCCATCGCCTATAGCACAGTATCGCTCGCTAATGATCCAGGTGCGATTGGTAAAGGCTCCTAAGCGGACTTCCTCGATCTCTCCCCGCGCGATGCATTCACGGACATTCTGCCGGCCGTGGGTGGCATCATCCAACGTGGTGATATCAGATGGGCCCCTTGGCGATGGGCTGAGCAGTGTATCGCGGAAAGCATGCATACTAGGAGAGCTGTAGCGTAGTTGAGTTAAGTTCATACGCACAGCAGGAAGTTTAGAAGGACAAGTAGCGAGAAAATGAGGCGAGCGCTAGCTAGTTGCCGTCCACATTACATGGAGGAAGCATACTCGTAGCTGGTGGGAGACGTGTATTGTCTAATGCTGATAGGTAACCTAAACGGGCCATTACGTAACATCTCTTATTGACTCTGCGGCGTAGGACGTCGACACATTTGCCATAGTTAGAGCTAGAAACGCGCCGCTCTTGTAGATTCGATGAAACAACGGTAACTACGTTGTCACAAGCGGCGGGAGATCTTGTACATGCATCCGTGTTCTGGTTGCCAGCAGCGACGGCAAAGTGAAGGCCACTACGTATAGCAGCATCGATAGCTTGGTTCTCCCCGACAGAGTAGCCCGAGGATGATAATCTCATATTGACAACGCTGCCTCTGAAACCCTTTCCCTGCTTTTGACAGCCGATTCGTGTGCTTTGACCGCGTATTGAATAGCTTTGACAATATCAGAATTGTAGGTTGCGAATCCGCCGCCAAAGGCCTTGAGGGAATAGAAATTTGCCTTCGTAGCAATACCATGCCTCTTGCCAATAAGAGCATCAGAGCAGTACATGCCATGGCCACCAGTATCTTTATCAGGCGCATTCTCCAAGACTGTCTTGAGCCATGTTGCCCGACCCTCGAAGTTAACGTGCTCAATGTTGGTGCCGGAGTCTATGACACAGACGTTAACACCTGCACTTCCGTCAGCGGCATATAGATGGTCTTTGAATGTTTTATTCTTTAGAGATTTACGCTGAGAGATACGAGCAAGGCCCCAGAAAGCATTCCTCTGAACTATAGGCACGTCGCTTACAAGGTTGTGGATCTCAGGATCGTTTGCGTCGAGATAGTCTTCAGAGTCGCGTTCGATGTAGTCAATCTATCAAAATGTTAGTGTCAAGCACTAGATATATGTAGGAGGCTAGATAGAGTTAAGTACTATGGAGACCAATTGTGTAGTTGTGGCATGGTTGTTGCCACAATTGGGGACTAAGCACTATATCACTGTCATCGAACAGGTGTTGCGGATTTGTCGCATTGGTACTGCACACCAGCGGAAAAACGTGGATAAAACATACATAAGAGTGACGCTGAATTGACTTGATAATATCTTCATCGAAATGACCAGAGTATCCCATAAGCTAGACATCTCATATGTATGATTGAGACCAGTGAAGACGTCGCCAGAGCGCTTTCGAAGCTCTATGCGATCCTCACTGTTGGGTTGAATGCTCTGTAGCCAGGCATAGTGCTTAGAAGGATCATCGACATCTTTCTTGAAAACAACAATGTATTTGTTAGGGACTACAATCTCTGAATCTGATGATAGGAGTGGGGCTATGTTGTTGCCAGTAATCGCTGTATGCATCGGCGACGCTACGACCAAAGCCGACAACGCAGAGAGTATATTGTATCTAATGATAGAAATTTAACGTTTACTGTGAGTACAACGAAAGATCAGATGAAGAATGATGAAAGAAAAAGAGATACCGGTAATCGCAGAGAGATAAGCTAAGTAGATATAGCAATTGAGCTTTCTTATTTAAGCTGCTTGAGGTTATTAATCAGTTTATCAGGTTACTATAGCTTGATGCAGCTCTGGTATAAGTGGAGATACGATTTACATACTTGCAATGCTTTTATGACTTGGTATTTGGGTCACGTTAAGCGCATGAACTCATCGCTGATTAGCAATAAGAGAAAAGAAAATCAAAAGGACAGTAGACTGCATTCTCAGTTGCCGATTTCGGGACGCTATACCTAAACTTTGTTCAGTTGAGTGCAGACTTGTATGACAGAGGATGTGTCGTGTTGAGATGCCAAGCTAGACAGTATTGAACAATCCCTTCTCAAGCCTAAGACGATGAGCTTCCGCTTCGCCCGAAACAGAACTGAACAGAAAAGTAAAAGCGAACAGGTCCATAAATCTCTGCAGTACTATGATGGATTTGTGATTGCAACATCCCTAAACTGTGCGATGACTTTTTTGGTCTGTTGGGCACGTTAATGCTGAGCTTGACAAGGGATCAGTTTGGGTTGGAATATCACCAGCGGATCGAAGGCTCCTTCTCCGTACACATCAGAAATGTCGTCCTATCGAACTATGATTCCTCCAACCTTGCTCTACGGTTATCTTTTTCTAGAATTTTCCGCAAAGTAAGTATGAGCAGGATACATCAGAGGCTATCATAGCGCAATGGTTTTGGATGCTGAACCAATTAGCGCTTGATCGCAAACCAAATACTACTGTCTTCTTGATTATGCTCGAGAAGCCTTTTGACGAACCGAGAGAAGAATCTTCCATCATGTACGCTCTTGGTAGCTTTGTTGTGGATGTCTCATCACGCAAACCAGGCATAGATTGAACAAGGTCTCAAGCCTCCAAAAAACCAGAGGGGAGATGAGAATAGGACGCAGTGAAGGATCGGGCATTAGGGGAATCCAAGCTTCTAGAGGATTAGTACTTTACTGCACAACTTACCAACTGTCCAAAGCTTGCGCTGCATCAGAAAACAGAATATTCAATAAAGTAACAGTACCTTGACCTAGCATGCAATGATTTCTTTCTTGTTGATCGAAGTAGATTTAGTTTATTAGAGCGAACATAAAAGCGCGGAGATGGAAGGAACGATCCCTAGCCATCTCATCCCTCATCCCTATCCCATCAGGACTCCTTACAAGCACACAATGCGGACTTCTCTGGCTACTCTCCTTTTCACTCTATGCGCCGCAGCATACAGTGTCGATACTCGGAATTCGTTCCAATGCCAAAACGGTAAGTGGACGAAAAACATTCTACCCCTAGAGCCTACCAGTCAAGCTCACATTTACAAAAAAAACAGGTGCCATGCCATCCGTTACATGCGCCAGTCCTTCGGACGTACCAGATTGCTCTTGCACCTGTACCAACGGCATAACATTCAACCAGGCCCTCTCACCTCCCGGTTTTGGTCCGAGTGCTTCCCCCGGATGCCAGAATGAGAAGGAGGCCTGTCTCTTGCGCGAGCAAGACATCGCCACCAATCTTCTGCGTGAGCAAGAAACCGTTGCCAATCTCGATGAGCAAATGAGAACGTCCAATGTGTGCAAGGACAGCTTGACAACCCAGCTCAACACAGCAAATGCCCAGCTACTGTTGAAACAGCAACAGCAACTCAAGTACGACGAGATGCTCGCTGAAGAGGAGAAGCGACGAGCGCGATCATTCCGCTACCAGGGATGCTACACACAAGACCGATGTCGAGTCATCAAACGGAAATATACTGGCGATGCCGCCATGACGAGGCAGAAATGTGCGGCTATCTGCAAGGATTGTCTCTACTTTGCTCTGGGACATACTAAGGAGTGCTGGTGCGGTGATGCATTTCATACCGCTACTGAACTTGTTAATGATGGTGCTTGCTCTGCGAAATGTGGGGGCGATAAGACGCATGCTTGTGGAGGGGACGGGATGCTACCTATTTATTCGAAGTAAGGGGTGGGTGGATAGGCGTTTAGTTAGACTGGTATGTCTGGTTTGGGGTATGGTGGGATTAAATGGCTGGATACAGTTGAGGTATAAAGGGATTGAAACAAGTGATTACTTTTTGTAGGCATAGATTGTTGAAATTGATCGAAGTAGGGTACTTGTGCTATAATATACATAGGTAGACGCACGCTATCTGAGTCCCTTTGTAAGTGCATTTGATTGGCTCGTTTCGTTAGCGAATGTGTAATATCGATCTAGATCTAGTCCCAATGTGTTATAAGCTTGCCTAGAATACGCTATCAAGAGTAACCGATGTAAAGATATATAGCAAATCACGTGATTTGGTACTTTTTCACTGATGCGTCTCATAATAGATTCATAATGATTGAGGGTATTATTCCGCTAAACTACAGACCTACAGAAGAGTGATAGTATCTTCTCTATTACCAAAATTACATCATAACGGCTTAAGCAGTCATCACCTTATGCGCGCGACTCGACTCGCTCAATGTTGTTCTGCTTCTCAAACTGCATCGCAGTGTCCCTGAGAGCAGGCTTCAGGGAGTCTGCTACTTCGCGAGTGAACTTGCGCGCTGAAACCCTGTGCTCAAACATAACATCAAGCTCAGAGTATGTGAAGCCCTTGGGCTCAGGAAGACGGAAGTAGCCCCAGAGGATGAAGAGCAGTGCAACGCCAGCCCAGAAGAAGCCACCTTTGGCACCCCAGTTCCAGTCGTTCTTACCAACCATCTTGGGCATGATGGTGTTGGTAACGAAGACAATAGAGTTGTAGGATGCGCGCGAGAGAGCGACGGTCTTTACCCTGAGACGGGAAGAGGGAATTTCGGCAGCGAGAGAATAGCAGATGGGTCCGAGGGAAAGCTAGTCATGTCAGAGAAAATGCGAAGAAAACCACAGCCTGAAAAAACTTACCTGGAAGCAGAAAATCATGAGGATAATCATAATACCTCCGGCCAGGCCGGCGCTTTTGTTCGACTGCGGTGCGAGGCCGAGAAATCCAACAATCAGAAGAATGAAGAAGATAGAGGTGAGACCGACAAGGTAAATGGGTCGTCGGCCAAAACGCGTCATGATCCACCAGGCGATGAAGCAACCAACTAGACCCAAGCAATCCTGACCAATGGTGAGATGGAACGAATCGTCTTGACTAAGACCAACACCGAGCATAAACTGTGTTCCAAATCCCATAAAAGGAACTCCACACAATGCCTGAGTGATGAATGCCATGGCGCTGACCTCAGTGCGGTGAAGGTCACTGCCGCGGAACAAATGCCAGTAGTTGGTTCCTGCTCCAACCTGCTTCTCGTACTGGTTGGTAACAACCATCATCTCAACGTGGGCATCCAGGTCGAACTTGACGCCTTCTGTAGGGGTGGTAATCTTGCGGATTGCGTCCTTGGCCTCGTCGATACGGCCCTGTCTGACGAGCCACCATGGCGATTCGGGTGCAAGGAGGGTAGCGGCAATGATTGGAATCGGCCAGATCCACTGGAGGGCAAAAGGAACACGGTAACCCCACTGCGTCGCGTTCTTCATCAGACCAGTGAGGATACCAGTGGAGAGAAGACCACCGATAACCCAGCACATGTTGATCCACGACGTCATGTATCCTGGCACTAGTCAGTATTGTCTTGTGCTCCGCGCGTTTGGTTCACATACCTCTAAGTTGCAAGGGACAAAGATCCGCAGCATACGAGATGGCAAGTGTCTGGAAAACGCCCCACGGAAGACCCTGGATGATACCACCCACAAGGAACATTTCCAGGCCAGTAGAGAAGAATGGAATGAAGATGGCGCCGATCATGAAGACCATGCTGCCAATCATGGTTTTTTTGTATCCGATCCATTCTGTGATGTAGCCGTTGATGATGAGACCAAGGATGCATCCGACCTATTAGATCATGTTAGTTGATAATGTTGATAGTTGAAATGAGGTCCGCACCTGAGTTCCGTTGAGAATGATAGTCTGCCATCGCGAAGAGACCAGCTTGTTGCCATCAGCGTCGACCTCGTCGCCGAACCGGTTGCGAAAGGGAGTGAAGGCGAAGAACTTGTTCATCAAGCTCGTATCGTATCCTTCCATAACGACGCAGAGTGAGATGATGAAGGAGAAGACAATGGCCTTGTACCAAAAGCGCAGAGCCTGGCGAACGGTCATATTTTGCTCATTGCTGATGGCTGCGCTGGTGTCGTCGGCGGGATTGGAGGCGTGAGAGGCAACGTTCTCAGCCACTTGGGCTTCGGTCTTCTCCTTGGAAGCCATGGTGGTTCAAGCTCGAGGATCGGGCAAGACACACAGAGTTGTCCCAGGGGATTGAGGGTTGGTGATGGAGACTGGAGTGAGAAAAGATTTGAATGGGGCCGAGGCGTAGATATATAGAGCGGCCGAGAGCATGGCTACAAGCGTTAAGATTCGGGCCAGAGTCGTGCCATGAGAGAAGGCTAGTCCGAGGGAGTGGTTGGCCCAGGTGCTCGGTAGTGGCCGAGAGGGGCATGGCCAGATCTACTTGCGGGGAAAACCATGGGGAGAAGTTGATACAACGTGCCCGTGGGGACAAGATGGAGCATTCTGCTGGGCGTGCTGTCCAATAAGCAGCGCCGACGAGACTTGCCCAGTCCGTTGCCCAGGAGAGAGACTTTTCCGACAGTAAACCGCCGCTAGCAGAAGGAATGGCACGTGTTTGCGCTTGGCGGGCCAGTTTCCTGTTCTGGCCTCTGCCGCTCCGAGGTTGTCGCGAGTCGAGGCCAGCCAGTGTTTTCATTCACACCATTGACTTTTCCGTCAGTTCTCCGCTTTCCTTACCCCAGAGATGGTCGCCAAACTTGGCTGCTTTTAACACGCTATGCGCAAACCGTCTGCCTGTACAGTTTGCCGGTAAGCCCTCGACTACACTGGCGTCTTCAAGCCACACATCCATGCTGACGCTGTTACAGGGCGCGTCGTCGCAAATGCATCTATCCAACACACGGCGTGGATGCGGTGTGTGAGTACTGTTCGTCACATGGCCAACAGTGTATCCAAGGCCCACCAGAAGGCGGGTACTATGCAAGGCGCAAGGCTAGGCTGCAATCGCTCAATTCGCCTCCACAGAATTCCCAGAACCAGGATGCCACTCCAGCAAGGCACACCGAACCAGACCTGCCGCCCCTTGCACTGAGACGAGAGCTAGTCGATTTGTATTTCGACTACATTCACGACCAGTTCCACTCCATCTACCATCGCGTATCCTTCCTCCAAGATGTCATGCATGACCGAGTCCCGCCAATTGTGCTTCTTGCAATGTTTGCTCTCTCGGCACGATTCTCAACCAACCAAGCATTCCATGGAACAGACCCGAGGGAACGGGGCGAACGCTACCGGATACGAAGTGAGGAATTGCTTAACATCCGTCATCTGCACCCCACCACCGTTCAAGTCTGCCTGCTCCTAGGTGCATACGCTGCCGCTAACGGCCAGACGGATGTCGAGAACATTTATTACAGCATGGCTGGGCGCATGTGTCTGGCCCTCGACTTGCCAAGCCGCCCAGTTGCCAGCCTAATAGAGCGTGAAGTAAACATAAGGATATGGTGGACCATATGTATGGTCGATGTTTGGTCTTCAACTGCAGTCCGATTGCCGCGCATAATGCCATTTGATATCGCTGTGCCTCTGCCAGTTGACGAGTTTCCTTTCTCGTCTATGGGCACCGATTCGGAACACGGGTGCACCGATCCGACATCTGTATCCTCTCCCCTCATGGCTGAGATGGTGAAACTCAACAGGATCCTGTCCAAGATCATTGATTTCAATCGCACATGCGTGTCAGACCACCTTGAAGGCTTGCCACTGGAGAAGGGCATGCGCGAGTTGTCGCGCGACTTGGACGTCTGGCTCGAAAATCTCCCGCAACATTTGCGTGACACGCCGGACAACTTCAAATACTTTGCCTCACGGGGTCATGGGCGTATGTTTGCGGCCGTGTATCTAGGATATTACCATTATGGTCAACTCCTGAATTACCAGTTTCTATCCCTGTCGACTGAGGCGTCGGCAGAGTCTGGGCGATATGCAGACGCATGTAAACAGCATGCTGCACGGCTTTGCTCCCTGGTGTATCGTTCACATGCAACACCTGGTAGCGAAGTCATGTACTCGGCAGTGTCACACGTCCTCGTCATTGCATCTACTGTACAAATTCATACCCTCCTCTTTTCCCCTGACGAAGCAGAGATACGAATTTCAAAAGCAAGACTGGAGCGCAACTTTGAGATTTTGCTCCGGTTGCGCGCATATTGGCCTAGTGTGGATGGTGCTATGAGTCGTCTTCGAGCATTCCACCAGACATGTCTTCGAAGCAAAGAAACTAGTTTTGTGCTTGATCGGTGGCTGTTACGCTTTCTAGTCCAGTTTGCCCCTCACATGGAGCTTGAACCGAGAGATCATGATCCTGAGTACGAGGCGCTGCTGGCTTTGAGCAAGCAGTCGCCGCTATCTTGCTACTCAGGTCTATCCCTATAAAGATGAAGAAGATTTCCTCTACCACACACTCGGTATGGCAATGGTATGGATTTGAGCCAAGTATAGGTCCCAGGATCTAGTCGATACGAAAGGCGGGGATGAAATCCTTGGGCAATGTTAGCGGCGGAAAACCTATCAGTTTTCCCAGACACGTGCGGAGCACCCCCACATCGGAGTTTCAACTTCGGTAATCTAGTAGAAAGATTCGCGTTCACTGAGGGGAGGTGTAACCATTTAAGTCTGCTCAACTTGCTAATCTGGTCTGCGTTGTTGGAGAAGCAATACCAATTCTCCAACATGCCTCCCTCACATAGCAGCATTCTCGTTGTCACAGCTCTAGCCAACGTCGCATCTGCTGTAAACAATGGCCTTGCTATCACACCGCCAATGGGTTGGGTACGATGTTTCCATCCATCATCTGATTTACTTGCTGACCTCAAAAGAACAACTGGAATGCGTTTGGATGCGATGTTTCTGAAAACCTGCTTCTCACAACCTCGGCCCAGATCATCGACTTGGGTCTGCGAGACCTAGGTTATAATTACGTCGTCCTAGATGATTGCTGGCAAAATCCCAAGGGCCGCGACAAGGAAGGAAAACTTCAACCGGCACTGGAAAAGTTTCCCAATGGCTTAAAGTCAATTTCAGACCATCTCCATGACCGCAATCTGAAGTTTGGAATGTACAGCAGTGCTGGCGAAATGACTTGCGCGAGATTCGGTATGGCAGCCCCCATCACCCATCCCATATTGTCACATTAAAACCAAGTAGCTGGGTCACTCGACCACGAAATTGATGACGCAAAGAGTTTTGCTGGATGGGGAGTGGACATGCTGAAGTATGACAGCTGCTATCACATGGGCCGCGTTGGTACTCCGTCGGTATCATTCAATCGTTTCAAGACCATGGCAGATGCCTTGAAAGCGACGGGGCGAAATATCTTATTCAACTTGTGTAACTGGGGTGAAGACCTGGTTCATACGGTAAGATACATGCCAATGTTGCATGCTTAGTGCTAAAATGAGCGTATACTAATTTTTGACGATAGTGGGGGATGTCCATCTCAAACTCTTGGCGCATTACAGGCGACATCTATGATTCATTTACACGACCCGACGATCTCTGCGGCTGCAACACCGTGGCGCCAGGTGACGTCAACTGTGTAGCACCGGGCACTCACTGCTCGGTACTGTTTATTCTTAACAAGGTCGCGCCATTTGCAGACCGTAGCATTCCTGGTGGCTGGAGTGACCTCGACATGCTCGAAGTCGGACAGGGTGGTATGACTGATGAAGAGTACAAAGCACACTTTGCGCTTTGGGCAGCCCTCAAATCTCCGTTGTTCCTTGGTAACGACCTGCGCGATATGCCGGCTCCTGCACTTACCATTATCAACAATCCGGCCATCATTGCGCTGAGCCAGGACCCTCATGGTAGAAGTGTAACGCGAGTCCGACGCGATACTGAAGGTGTCGCCAAAGACGAGTGGGGCGTCGGTGAGACGCATGTGTGGGCTGGTCATTTGCACAATGGCGATGAAGTCGTGATTCTCCTGAATGCTGGTGGAAAAGACATTGAGATGAGTGTCTCACTTGCAGAGATTTTCATCCCCTACGGACCTGGAGGCTCGGCACCGCACAACAAGTACGACTGGGACATCCATGATCTTTGGGCGCATCGCATGTCTGAGAAGACAGCTGAACAGATACTTGCGGCAAAGACAAGTTCAGAGAAGCAAGCAGTGCTATCAAGGACGAACTGGTACAACGCCACCGAAATTCCTTACGCTACTGGTCTTGCGCAAGAAGACCCACGACTATTTGGTGAGAAGATCGGCGTAGCCAAAGCCGGTGGGTTACTCAAAGCGGACGTAAAGAGTCACGCTGCGCGAGTCTTTCGACTGCGAAGAGTCGCAAAGAAAGGAGATACTTTCGAGGCGAAGAGCATCTCAAGAGACGACGTCGACGTCGAGGAAAAGGAAAAGGATGAGCTATGAAACAGCAGGCTATCTTATCCTACAACTCGCTCTTTGCATGTTGCATTATTATGAAGCTTGATGCATCAGATGACTGTGATTTTTCTACATTAGACTATAGAGTTGCATCACTATCCATTTCCGTGTACCCGATTATCCTTTACTTGGCATTCTTAGATAGGAAATAATGACGCTCGCTCCGCGACTTATGAGGACCAATGGCAAAACAGATTTCATTCAGGTTTAAGCTTACAAATTAAACCCAGACAAGATAATTGGCATTATACACCAGGACCAAGCAAATAGCAATCTTCTTAACATCGCCGGCCCGAGTGAGATATCGCCTTGTGATAAAGTTCATTTTGTTTTATTTAAGAATTGAGTAGCTCCTCAGGGATTGGGATTGGTTTACGCCCTACTATATACTCATTCCTCTTGGGTGTACTTGTCAGTGTCGCACGACATTCGCGTAACATGATACTGATAGGCCAAACACAGCTATGACGAGGGATTCAACTTTAGGTCCATATATTTAGAGTGCTTTGATTGCTAGCTCCCGTGACTGTCGTAACTGCCCCATCTGCTTTGACTAGTGATTGCCCATTGTCGATTCCCTTTTTCTCTGTCTCTTCCAAGGAGAGAATCTTTTCATTCCCCTTCGCCCACTACTGGCTGTCTGTGAGTGGATATAGAAAGGGGTATCGCAGTGTTCATTGTGTGATCTGGTGCTAGCCAAAAGAAATTTCCAACATCTTAGTGTAGATTTGAAGAATAGTAGTAGAGGCACTGAGATCTAATTATGTCGAATTTCTTTGGTCGGGAGAAATCCTTCGGATGTAATTTCAACATGCCGCGAGAGCTACAGGGAACTCATGCAGGTTCATGCAGTAAAAGCTCTTTGAGATCTACTGCTGATTTTTCTTTTTCTCAGATAGCTTGCCTGAGAGTACGCGGTACAAACCGTCAAGTTGAGGCGCTAACTAAACTGCTTTTTCGCGACGCATTGGCTCTATATCTTCTTCTGATGATGGGCACTAGTCTGGCCTCCTAGCTCACCCTGAACCAACATAATTACAAGATTTCCAGCCAGGACGTGTTCTTAGTTGGATGCATAATGACCTAATCAACCATCGCTCAACACTGTCCGGCTCGGTATCTTGACACGATGCATCCTTTGTTGCACGAGCGCGTGCATCACCACTCACATATGGACTAGTACATCCCTAGCCTTACAAACAATGTTCAAGCTCCATGTTGAGTCTTGGTGTGTAGATCAATCAGTCAAACTTGTTAGCTCAGATAAGAAGGCTCCGTGGCCATGCTTGCCTAGTTCGTCCTTCTCATCGCCTTCTCACTTCTTTGCCATGTCATTCTTCTGTCCACACTCTTTGTTTTATCTCTTGTAGTACACTACGCCATATCACGTCGCTTAATGTTGACGAAATTACTGGTTCACTAGGAATTAACAGATCCCAAACTCACAGCGCCTCTCAAATAATAAACCGGCCAGATATACAGTCGAGGATAGGAACTCGGAGGGTGAGGGCAAAAGTGGGGAATAGCACGCCATCTGGAAGCGTGCTGTAGGTAATTGGTCGTACGCTCAAGGGTCTGACGACTCGGAATACGCAATGCAAGAGAAAGAAGAACCCTTGGCGCAATGCGAGGAATCGGAGAAAGAGCAAGGCATGGTCAGCGTACACAGCGCAGACACACCGACATGCGAACCACACTCATCCATCACAACCTCTGTTAGGACGAACATGGATGACGCTTCATCGGCCGAACTGAAAACACCCGTGTCCGAGGATTTTATCGCTGTCGAGTCTCCAAGTGCTACCGCAACGTACAAGGTTACACTTGCCATCACTGGAATGACATGCAGCTCCTGTGTGTCTGCCATAACGCATGCCGTTCAAGCACACGCGTGGGTCCAATCAGTCAACATCAACCTTCTTACAAACAGCGGAGTGGTTGTTTTCACTGGAAAGGCTAAGTGTGACGAGCTTGTGGAGACGATTGAAGACTGCGGCTTCGATATCGAAGTAGAGAAGTTAGAGCAAGTCCAAAATACGGCGCCAGAAGCAAAACCATCGAAGCAAAAGACGGAGCGTTGGCGCACGACTTACCTACTCGGTGGTCTAACGTGTTCGTCATGTGTCGGCAACGTGACTCGAGCACTAGAACCGCATGCTTGGATCAAGTCGATCGACGTCAATCTAGTTTCAAACAGTGCGACCATCGTTTTTACCGGCAAGGAGCATCTCTTAGAGATTGAGGAAATCATTGAAGATGTTGGCTACACAGCCACACTCGACCATATTATCCCAGACGGCATACCAACAACCGAAGCAATCGAGCGAACAGTTGCGGTACGCATCGACGGAATGTTCTGCGAACATTGCCCGCCGAATATCATACAAGGACTTCGGGAAGCCTTTGCAGACCAACATACATTCGTACTCGAAGACCCCCCTATATCCCTCGAAAACCCGATCCTACACATTCGATATGTACCGGGCCCCCCTACCTTCACCATCCGGCATATCTTCTCCACTATTTCCAATCTAAACCCTGTCTTCACCCCCTCAATCTTCCACCCGCCTACGATCGAGGAACGCGCATGCCAAATGCACGCACAAGAACGCAAACGAACCCTCCTCCGCCTCACACTCTGTGTCATCATCGCCATACCCACATTCATTTTGGGCATCGTCTTCATGAGCTTGATCAGCGCCGAGAACCCCATCCGCAAGTACCTCATGCAACCCATGTGGGCAGGCAATGTCACAAGACTCAGTTGGGCCCTCTTCATCCTCGCAACACCCATTTATTTCTTCGCAGCAGACACATTCCACCGGCGCGCGATCAAGGAGATAAGAGCCCTGTGGCGACCAGGGAGTCGAACACCGATTCTGTATCGCTTTACAAGATTCGGGAGCATGAATATGCTCATCTCGCTCGGCACTACAATTGCGTATTTTGCATCGATTGCAGAACTCGCTCTGGCAGCTACGGAAATGTCGCACGGCTCAATGCACGATTCGTATTTCGATGCTGTCGTCTTTCTGACTATGTTCTTGCTCATTGGTCGCTTCTTGGAGGCATATAGTAAGGCGAAGACGGGGGATGCGGTTACGTCGCTGGGGAAACTGCGTCCTAGTGAAGCCATCCTTATGGACTCTGAACAAGGCGATATCAAAATCGCTACTGATCTGCTTGAGATCGGGGATGTAGTTCGAGTCCACCATGGGGCGTCGCCGCCATTTGACGGCGAGATTGTAGAGGGAAGTTCGAGCTTTGATGAGTCGAGTTTGACGGGGGAGTCTCGCCCGGTGAAGAAGGTGGAGGGTGATACAGTGTACTCGGGTACGATGAATAAGGGGTCTCCTGTTCAAATTACCATTACGAGTATTGAGGGGACGTCGATGCTGGATCAGATTATCAATGCTGTAAGGGAGGGTCAGTCACGACGGGCGCCTGTTGAGAGGGCGGCAGACGTTATCACTTCGCATTTTGTACCATTTGTCATTGCCGTTGCAATCACGACCTGGCTAGTTTGGCTTATTCTCGGTAAGACGGGAGCTATACCCAGTGACTGGAAGAATGAGGGTGCTGGTGGATGGGAACTCTGGTCTCTTCGATTCGCCATTGCCGTCTTTGTTATCGCCTGTCCCTGCGGTATTGGTCTTGCCGCTCCGACTGCGCTCTTCGTTGGAGGTGGTCTGGCTGCAAAGCATGGTATACTTGTGCGAGGCGGAGGCGAGGCGTTCCAAGAAGCCAGCTCCCTCGACTGTATCGTTTTTGACAAGACGGGTACCCTTACCCAGGGCGGCGATCCAGCAGTGACGAACCACCAGTTCTCTGAAGATCAGAACAGTTCACTGGTACTGGGTATTGTCAAGGCTCTTGAGCAAAACAGCAACCATCCCATCGCTCGTGCACTCGTCTCTTTTTGCAACAGAGAAGACCACATCACGCCAACAGTGGTCGACATCGACGAAGTACCAGGCAAAGGCCTAAAAGGCACTTTCCGAGTCAACGGACAAGAAATTACCGCCATCGTAGGCAACGAAGCCTTCATGATTGACCACTGCGTCCCCATCCCCCCCTCCTCCACAACCCTCCTCTCAAGCTGGAAATCCCGCGGCGACTCCATCGCCCTCGCAGCCCTCTTCATGCCCCAATCCTCCCTCCTCCCCTCTCACTCCTCCACCTCCTCCAGCGAAACCCTCCCGAACCCAACCTGGCACCTCGCCTGCACCTTCTCCATCGCCGACGCCCTCCGCCCCGAAGCCCACAGCGTCATCGCCGCCCTACACGCCCGCGGCATATCCACCTGGATGCTCTCCGGCGACAACCCCACCACCGCCAATGCCGTCGGCGCTCAAGTCGGCATCCCGGCCTCCAACATCATCGCGGGCGTGTTGCCAGAGCAGAAAGCGCAGAAAATAAAGTATCTCCAGCAGACCCTGTGTAAAACGCCCAAACGCTCTTCTTGTCTCCCCTTTTCTTTCTTCTCCTTCAATGGGAGAAGAGAAGGTAGCAGGAGACAGAAACGCGCAACAATAGCCATGGTAGGCGACGGCATCAACGACGCGCCTGCGCTCTCCACCGCCGATTTATCCATAGCAATCGGCTCGGGCTCGGATATTGCCCTGAGTTCTTCTTCCTTCATCCTGATCAATAGTCGGCTTACCACGATCTTGACATTGTTGGATCTCTCGAGAGTGGTGTTTCGACGCGTTTATTTTAATTTTGGGTGGGCACTTGTGTATAATTTGGTGGCTATGCCTATTGCGGCGGGGGTGTTGTATCCGATTACTACTGGAGGAGGTGGTAAGGGGGAGGCGATGGAGATGCATGGTGGGATGACGATGGGGCATACGGGTGAGAAGCATGTTAAGCTTGATCCTGTGTGGGCTGCTTTGGCTATGGCTTTGAGCAGTGTTAGTGTGGTTTGTAGTTCGTTGTTGTTGAGGAGTCGGTTGCCGGGTGTGGGGTTTAGAGTGCGGCGTGAGGGTAGTGTTGGTGCCGAGACAGGTTGACAAGGTAGTTCAAATTGGTGGGTTGTGCTCAATCAAGTTATTCTTAGAAATTTGGACTGATAAATTATCCGTGTGTTGTTGGGTGACACATCTGGGCTGGAGATGCCTTAGATAAGTTTTAGAAAGTGGTAGTAAGGTATTATTAAGTCATAATATCGAGTAATACAACACAGAAAAGTACACCATTAGTTTGTCCCCAAGCCACTGATGCAGTGGTCAGAAAGAAAGAGGGACCGGCCATCTACGCCACCCCATAAGCGAGTATAAGCTGTTATCACCACCCTGACGTGACTTCTCCTTTCATTTTGTTTTTTCCCTCCATTTTCAAAAAACGTAGATCTCATTGTCTACTCCTCCGACCACCGCAGGGGGCTAGCAACAACAGCCTTAGCTCTATTCGTCACAGTCGCAGTTCCCAGATTCTTCCTGCGAAGCTCACCATTATCCCGCAGAGCACCGCCACTGCGCTTCTTGTTAGATATTTGGATCTGTTGCATGAGTTCAGGAGTAATCATGGTGGGCTTGTGTGACTTGCGGCTCTTTTGAGATTTAGAAGCAGAAGGGGTGTCGGCGCTGCTGGGGGCAACGGATGTCTGGGAGGATGCCTGGGGACCATTCTTGGATGCGGCGTTCTCGGGAACACTGGAGAGGGCTTGGCGGGTAGACTCGGATGCAGCGACTAGGTTGGAATTTGGGGGCACAGTTGAAGACGTGTTGCTGAGTTGAGCGCGCATTCTAAACTCATCGGCATTGAATCGGGTGGACATTGTTTTGCCCTCGGTGCTGCTGCTTTGAGGCGTGCTGGGCACTGAAGGCAGATCGCTGGCTTTGCTTTTCAAGGAGTACGTGTCGGTTTGTCGGTTCTTGGTGGCGTGCTTGAGGAAGTGGAGCAACCGCCGGATAGAAGAATTGCCCTTAGGACTTCTCGAGTCCAAGGCGGTAGGTTCGCCCTTATTGCCCATGGCGATGGTAGTTGTGTTGTTGTTTGCAGGCTGTTGTCAGAGTTAGTACTGATACAATGAGTGTTGGAGACCTGGCTATTTTTCTTTCACGTACTGGAATTCGATTCTTTACTTTGTTTGCTTGAAGAGATCTATTGCTTTCAGAATAATAGAACTGCGAGACATGATTTTGAGCATCCAAAGGAGATATATAGAGGGGAAAGTGGGCAAAGGACCCAAGAAACATCACACCAAACTCTTACAAACTGCTGTAAGCGCAGCGCTCATACCGCAGAAAGAAGCTATTAAGTCAACGGAAACGTAACCATGATACAAACGCGCGTGAATAAGCGGTTGTTATGATAGGGCCTGCATTTTGTTGGTGCCAGAGGATAATACGGATTGCAAATATTCCAGTCCTCCAAGACAAGTTTACTAGTAGTCCTTGAAGATATGTGAATGGCGTATGAGAAGAAAAGCAATAGAGCCACAAGGCATTCCATGGTCCTCGCTGAGGAGTTGTTGCAGCACACACATGATTGGTCGGCGGAGCGGGTGCAAGGCGGAGCGGAGATCGCTACCGCAACTATCGTCCAGTCATGTTGATCTTGAATGTGCAAAGTTGAACGGTACAAGAGATTCCGCGTACGGTGTGCAAGTGGGATACGTGAACGGACAGTCTTGAGCACAGTGCGATTCAAAATGGCGAAAAAGTGGTATTTCCCGAATGATTCCTGTAGCGCCAACCCAATGCATACATATCTTTTACACCAATATACAGGCAGATGATTATTTTACTTGCGCGCGTCCATGGCTTGTTGAAGGGCTTGGGTGGTAGGCTGAGCGGACCTGTCCAGCGGCTTGTCTGGCACAATGACATCCTCGAACTCGTCCTGGGAGATGGCATTGATGGTGTAAGTGTCTGGAAAAGGTGAGTCAGCACTCCAATTAAAGAGGCACGGAGAGGATGCGCACATATGCCAATGACAAGCGAGCAGATTGCGAAGCCGGTGATGGTGTTCTTGATCAGGTAGGGCGCGCGGGCTCGCAGCAGGGCGGGCGAGGCGCGCATGCGGTCATCGTAGTAAGTTGAGCGGAATGGCTTGCTGTTAGGGTCAGTTTTAGTATGCGCAGCAGAAACAATATGAATATAGCGCGCAGACTTACTATCCCATGGTGGCGGTGTTGTGAGGCTCCCAGGCGGATTCTGCGGGGAAAGAAATGGTGGTGAGATGATGCATGGGGCTAGGCGGGCGTCTTGGCGGGCAGGGCGCACATCATCGCAGTCGCAGCGTCAACCCTGCGCCACTCACCTCGCGCCCGTAGCTGTAGTCAACACTATCATCACCCCCGTCCCCATCCACATCCACATCCCCATCCCCGTCCCCCCCTTTCCTTCTCTACGCTCTCTACAGCCTCTTTGTAATTGCTAGCATTGTGGGGAATGGGACGCCCTTTGGCCGCACACGTCAGGTCTTTGTCGCGCTCTTAGTTTGACTGTTGCGTCGCGCGCGTGAGCAAGCCTTACGCCTCCTACAACTCCAACTCCTACTCTTCGCTACAAAGCGCGCCGCCAGTGTGCTGCCACCACCATCACCATGACTTCGCAAACGATACAGCAGATGGAGTCGGCTCGGTCGCTCGCGTTAGGCGACGGTAGATACTATCCTACCATTATACCAGGCGTGCTCCCTATCATTGGTTACAGTGAAGACCAGAGCATCGAGATACAGCGCTGGGGTGCCGAGTTTTTGGCAGAGGCTTTTGCATCACCAGCATGGCCCCAGGAGGCCAAGCAGAGCAGCGCGCCCTCGGTGCTGGCTACCCTCAAGGCCTACCTGGAGAATGTCGATGACAAGAGCGTCATCAAGAGTGCCATCCAGGCGGCCGCCAGCGTGTACCCGCTCGTATACAAACATACGTAAGTAAACCCCCTCCCTCGCATCAGATAGAGCCCCTCGCATGTCAAACATGCCCTGCGCATTCTTGAGGTCCCTTTATGCTCGCATGCTCCTTGACTGTCTTCATGCGAATACGCTCTTATTCTTGCATGTGCCCAGTGTCTCCGACCCCAGCGATTCGCAAAATTGGGGCCTCATGTTTGGCATCAAAGCAAACATTTTGCGACGAATGGACTCGGCCACCCCTGGCGTGCGTATATGCTGCGTCAAATTCCTCCAACAAGTCGTCCTGGTACAGACACCAGGCGTGGCAGACCCTAGGGTAGATACTCCTCCACCTCCCCGACGTAGAAACACAAAATCTCATGTCTCGCAGCGCGCCGATCACAACGAGATTTCCCTCTCCATTGTGCCCCGCGATCACCCGCTTATACCGTATGCGAGCCTCGAGGCTGAGGGACATGGACTACTGGACAGGCTATTGGATATCATACATGGGGATCACAGGTTAGATAGACAGTCACAGACTGCCTACATGCATCTAACACAGACCAGTGACGGATTGCTCGTGACTGCCACATTGAACAGCTTGGGCATGCTGATCCATCGCCGACCAAATGCTGCAAATAAAATCTTGAACAGTGTTTTCAACTTCAACCCCTTGAAGCTTGCCAATTCGCCAATGACACCTAAGAACAAGGTCATTATCAAATCGATTGAGCGTACAACAAGGGCGTTGCTCGTCAACATTATGAAGAGGTATGTCCAACCTCAAGGTGTCACGTCATCTCAAGTACTTACCATTACAGGAACCCCGAGAACCCAATCAATGGACGTATACAACAGTTCCTGGAACGCATGCATCGTGCCCGTGTGGAATTCTTTGAGGAATCTAATCGTAAACGACCAGCACCCGCTGAGCCGACCGATGGCCTTGATCACGCCAAGAGACAGCGACTTGTGGCTGAGCCTCCCAGTCGTACACCCTCTGTTCAGCCTCTGCCGCCTGGTCCAATCAGCTGGCGACAATTATATACGCTCAATTCTGAAGGCAGCACTGCAAACTTTGATGTGCAAAATTTCAAAGATCCTGAGCAATTAGTCAGGATTGTGGTGCCAGTCCTGCAGTCGGTCAACCCGCAAAAGCTTGAACAAGCAATTAATGTATGTGGTGGTCTTTGTTTGAACATATACTGCGTCAAAGTATAGCAGACTAACATATATCTAGGCTGTCCGCGCTCGGTATCAAACACTGCGTCAGAACGCTGCAAGCCAACCTGTTCAGCCACCAAGCGCTCCTGCCGCAGAAGACGAAGAGGAATATGAGCCCGACTTTGAACCCGAAGATGCGGAGCAAATCATGAACAAGCTTGACGGTATCCCGTCGAATCCCTTCTCAACCCAACAAGGCCCATCCACTGCTCTAGCACCCTTCAAGCTGCCCGAAGCCCCTTCATTATCCGAACAGGATGTCCAGAAGTACGGTGACATGACCGTACATCGCGCCTTCGGCATGCTGAGCAGTGTAGATGAGACACAAAAGAGCAAGACCACAAAATGTGGTTTTAACCGTCTAGCAGCAACAGACTACGGCCGCGACGCCTGGGTCACCATCCTCTCCCGCCTCGCCACACGCGCAAGCGCCGGTCTCGACGACCCCACTGATGCCATCAAAGATGAGTACGCCGTCAAAAGCACCACCCGCAGCAGCAGTGCCCCCAAAATCAGCGACTCCATCCGCGACTCCCTCTACCAATATATCCTCTACGACTGGAAACGCCGCATCGACGTCGCAATCTCCTGGCTCAACGAAGAATGGTACAACGACATGATCCTCGCTCAATCCGCCGAGTCCCCCTTGCCAAACGGCACCGTAAACGGCATCTCCCCCTCCAAACCCCCAAGAGGCAACTACCACCGCTGCGCCCTCCGCCTCATCGACGGTATCCTCCCTTACATCGAGCACACGGATAAAATCTTCCTGCGCTTCCTCTCGGAAATCCCTTCAATAGACTACACGCTCCTTGTTCGCCTCAAGAAAATGGCAGAGGATCCCGAGCGCATCGACCTCGCTTGCAACGCTCTACACTACTTGTACATGTTTCGTCCCCCAGTCCGCAAGATTGTCGTTGATGTCCTCGCGGAGATGTGGGCGGAGAATGAGAGGGCGAAGCCGAGTGCACGCAAGTTGCTGCTTAGATGGAGGCCTGAGGTCCTGGGTAGCGAGATGGCGGGGAATAATACGACGCAGTTGGTGGTGAAGAGTGAGGGCGGTGTGGAGAGTGCGGGTAAAGTGGAGGTTGGGGCTGCGTCGTGAAAATGTTTGCACTACTAACTATTTTTTTTACATCCTTGAATAGGGGAGGGAGTTGTGTCTGCTACTTCTTTCCCTTTCCCCTTTTTTTACGGTGTTCTTGATTCGCCAGCTGTATACCTATTCCACACCCCCACAGTTTACAAACGTCTTGCCAAGAGTACAAGCGTTAAAGAGGACATAGCACCCAAGAGGTTTCAAGGTTGGAACAAAGGGGAGAGGAACATGCGTTCTTTCGTAGATGATGAAAGGCTTTACATGTACAACAAATATGATTGCAAGGAAAGGCAGATCGAGTTTAGATCAGATGAGATTGAACGCCATCTTCCTTCTTATTTCCACTTCTTCATCTTCAATCCACGTGTTCTACTAGAAAATGCTGAAAATCTTCATTGGTGCACTTGTGCTTTATCATCATACATCTCTCTCTCACACACACACATACATCCACCTACTCAATCTTCATCTTCTCAAACTGCGCAATACTCGCCTCCCAGTTCTTCGCTTCCAACTCCGCAGCCTTGAGCTTCTCCCTCTCCTGCTCCTTGACCACATCGCTAACCTTCTGCTCCCAGTCGTTGTCCATGATCTTCTTCTGGCGCGTAATCGTCTCGTTGGCTTTTGTGAGGCGATCCTGGGCCTTTGTGATTTCCTTGTCGAGTTCAATGCGGCCTTTGACGTCGAGATAGGCAGTCGCTGATGTGCCGATTGTGTACACGGCGCAGCCAGAGGGCGCGGTCTCAGAGGGTGACAGGATCTTGATCTCGGATACGGTCTTGCCCGCTAGGGATCGGATCGAGGGGAGAGATGTGGGGGAAGAGAGAATAGAGTGTGTGCCATTGTCGAGAGCTTGGATATATGTGGATGCATTATCCTTGATACCGTACTCCGCAGTCATAGAACGAAGGCCCTTTGCACTGTCGACGAGAAGCTCGTATTCGGCATTTGCGGTTTCATCCTCCAACTCTTGCGAGTATTGTGGGAAAGGCGCAATGCAAATGGAAGGTGTCTTGTCGCCTTGCCTTCGGGGCAGTCGCTGCCAGAGCTCCTCGGTGAGGAAGGGCATGAATGGGTGGATCATGTTCAGACCACCCTCGATGGCAGTGTAAAGCGTTTGCTTAGCGCTCTCCTTCTGCTCCTCGCTTCCCTCGTCGAAGATGGCCTTGCTGTTCTCGATATATGTATCGCAGAGGTAGACATAGAAGTACTTGTAGGCAACCTGGGTGGCAAGACTAAACTCGCGCGCCTCCAGATGGTCGTTGATCTTCTTGGCAGCAGCATTGAGATTGTGGAGGATGTAGCGCTCAGGGAGAGACTCCTTTCCACTCTTTCCAACCTTCTCCTGTGGTGTGAAGGATTCTCCCAACCGTCCAATGACATACTTGGTGGCCTGGTATATCTTGTTGCAGAATCTCCTATATCCGTGAATGACATTGACGTCGAACGAGATGTCCTAAAAAGACGTCAGTATTGCATCTAATAAGAAATAGCAAGACAAACTTACACCACCACCAGTGGTGTATCCGACAAGTGCCATACGGAGCGCATCAGCACCACATTCGGGGATACCCTGAGGGAAGGCGGTCTTCTGGTACTTCTCGGCCTTGGTCAACTCCTTGGGATCCAGGTTACCTGCGCGAAGCTGGTCGTGAAGCTTCTGGAGGGTGATGCCATCCATGATATCTATAGGATCCACAACGTTACCGAGCGACTTTGACATTTTCCTGCCTTCGGAGTCACGGATAAGAGAGTGGCAGTAGACCTCCTTGAACGGAACCTTTCCAGTCAAGTATAGGGATAGGAAGATCATCCTAGCAACCCAGAAGAAGAGAATGTCCCAGCCGGTCTCAAGGACAGAAGTAGGGAAGAGCTTCTCAAGGTCGACAGTCTGGTTTGGCCAACCCAGAGTAGAGAATGGCCACAGACCAGAGGAGAACCATGTGTCGAGCACGTCCTCGTCTCGCGACAATG